TTATCATCGCCATGATATTATTGATGTCCTCTCTTATTAGGATCTCTCTACTTGAGTGTCTTACTTTCAACAATTAGCGACATCTTTTCGACATACCGTTTTAGATCAATCGGATAATACTTTTTGTCTCTTGACCTCTGTGGTTAAAAGAAGTTTGCTGTTTCAATAAAATTATACACAGGTATGGGTAAAAATGGGCTACTAAACTGCCATTGGTGATTTTATATAGATTAGTTTACTGGTGGTAGGACCTCTTGTGAGTCCGCGCGGATGGGTACCACCACCCCGCCTATTTCTGCCGTGAAGCAGTAATGCGTTTCGGTTTGAAGGGTGGGGCAGCCGTTGTAACTATACTTGAGACCTTAGAACTTATATCTCAAGGTGGGTGGCGCATTTACGTTGTGGATGTCTATGGGCTCCAGTAACCACTTAACACCAGGTAAGCTGTGAGCTCGTCCACCCATCTAACCAATAACTAAAAAAAAAACTGATATTAAGTTTTTGTTTTTTATTGCCCTTTTAGGCAATTCAACACACGCCCTACCTGATGGTGAATGGTTACCGGGGTCCATAATCATCAACAATATAAATGCCCCCATTCATCTTAAGATGTAACTTCTGTCTCAATTTTATAGGACAATGGCTGCCCCGCCCTTCAAACCGATACAAAATCCTGCTTGATGGCAGAAATCGACAAGGCGATAGTTCTTACCCAAGCTGCGAGACTATATCCCTAGCATTTATTGGGCCAATACTGATATAATTAATCAGAATTAATAGAGGAGCTAAAATGTTTTTATTTACCTTATAGCTATTGTTACGCCGATAAGAGTAAGGTCATCGATCGTCGAATAGCCGAAACGAATATCAAAGGATCTAGTAACGTCTAGAACGCTCGAGAAGTACAACGCCATCTATTGTCAGATAGCGGAGACACACATCGAAAATACTCGACTTGTGAGGAATGTTCTCGACAGGGATGTGGTATCGGCTATAAAAGCGTTGCAGACAGGGCACGCAGTCAGTAATCGGAACTACTCGAAGCAAAACAGCGAATGGATCACAGTAGAAGTGAATTGAGAATTTTAAAATGTTCTAAGTGCTAATACAGTTTTACTTTATAATTTGGTAGAATTTTTATTTATCCCGAATCCCACCGCTTAACACTATTAATTGTTTATGAAGTACATACGATATGAAGGCATACATATGAAGGCATACATATGAAGGCAATACGTCCTTTCAACTCGTTGGTGTTAGGGAATATAAATAAAATTCAGTTGAGTTTTCAGAGTGGTATGCGCTGTCCTCGGTTGGAACAGTTTCAATATGATACGTGACCAGTAACGTAATGCATTGTGTATGCACTGGAATGCGCACTCAGTGTTATTTATAAATTTATTTACAGATATATTTTGAGTTGAAATTTTTCATGTAGCCTTATGGTTTGCGCTCTTGGTTTTATTGTTAGCGCAGATCAGATCAAAAGGTGGGTGGCGCATTTACGTTGTAGATGTCTATGGGCTCCAGTAACCATTTATCGGAGGCCGCTCTCGTTTGTCGATTTGCGCAATAACTAAAATTCACATTTCGTCTTAGACGCGCGACGTTTAAACCTTAAGCATTTTCCTTTTTCACCTAAACAATACTGTTTGACCTTCCAAGTTAATTAAGTATTCATAAGCCGAACTAAATTAGCGACGAAAACATTAAACTTTCAACGAATCTAAATGTAACAACTCCCAACGATCTCTTTAATAAAGTGACCCACAATTTAAATACGTCCAGGCGTATTACGAAACGACCGAATTACCACTGTACACGTAGCGTTGTCGCTACAAGCGGACGGTTTAACTGCCACATGAATTCCGGTTGTTAACGTTTCAACTAAAACGTATAATGGTAGCTTGTCTTCTTTCTGGTGCTTCCGTTTTCAACGATACGCTTTTAGAGAAGTTTTTAGTTTCGTTTTTACTTTCAGGAGATGTTTTATTACAGTTTAAATCGTTAATATTGGACGAAATTAATAATCAAACCCAAATCACACTCTATTCCCTGTGCTATTGGAGGCAGAGATTGATACACACAGGTCTTTCCTCAAACGAGGTTTGGAATTGCTGACGTCTGTGAGCAAAGGACTACTCACTATGAGGTGGACCATGTGCTCATCTGTATACCTAGTCAGGTCATAAATTCTGTCACATGTTTAATGTAAAATAATTGAAACAAGTTTATTCATTATGTAACCATTCATATACCAAAATGAACTTAACAAAACATAGATTCTTATGACACTAAAGTTTATTCAAAATGACCTCCGTGATTTTGAATACAGGCCTTCAATCTGCGCGGCCAGTCGCCTATCGCAGCACGAACGAGGTCCATGTCAATATCGGCGGCTGCCTTAATCAAGGATGTCTTGAGTGACTCCAAATTGGGATGAGGCTTTGAGCACGCCTTTTCCTCCAAGTGTTGCCATATCTTGTAATCTAACGGATTCAAATCTGGACTGGAGGAGGGCCAGTCTTCGTGCCGGATGAAGTCGATTTCACGCGCCGCCAGCCAGTCTTGTGTGCTCTTCGCTCTATGAGCTGGCGCCGAATCTTGTTGGAATACCCAGTGCCTGTTATTGAACATGGTATGAGAAACAGGTTCCACAAGGTTCGTCAGGACTGTATTTTGATACACAACTGCATTCGTTTTTACACCTTTCTCACAAAAATGTACCTCTGTTAAGCCCCAATAAGAAACTCCCAACCATACCATGAGCGAGGATGGAAAATGACCTCGTTGGACACGCGGAATACGGTTGCTCGCTTCTTCACTACTGTGTGCGTACACCTTATCATTTTGTTTGTTGTAGCTCTCTTCTACGGTAAAAATTTTTTCATCCGAAAAAAGAATTTCCCGATATTTTTTTCCCGCGTACCGCTTCAACAAAGCGCGGCATCTCTTCAGTCTCAGGTCCATTAGACGAGCATTCAAACGATGTCCTGTTTTTCTTCGATATGCCCGAAGCCCTAAGTCTTCATTTAACACCCTTTTCACCGTGGTTCTGCTTAACCCCATCTGAAGGGCCAACAGTTTCTGCTTACGTTTGGGATTTCTTTGAATTCGCGCCTTCACAGCTTTTATCACTGCTGGAGTCCTAACAGACCGAGGGCGACCACTTCTTGACCTGTCATCTACACTAGAGTCTTCATTGTATCGTTTGATGGTACGATAAACGAATCTTTTGGTTATATTCAAATTTTTCAGTATGTTAAAAATTTGAATTGGCGCGTAACCGCAACGATGCAACGCAATAACTGCAACACGGTCTTCTTTAAGCGTCCACTCCATATTTAAAAATGAGTAAAATTCTAAAAGTATACATTTTTATTTTCATGAACAATTCGAAATTCGAATTCAATAAACTTTTTTGTGGCCAGCATTCTAAAAGAAAAGTTTTTACTGTGTGACAATACTTATGACCTGACTAGGTACAAGGGCAAAAAAAATTGCTTCAAAGTTCGGTTTCCTCTGCATTTTGTACCGTATGTTTCAAGAAGAGTGCTCGGAGGAATTATTTGAGATGACCCAATATCACGTTTTTATCATCGCGCCATCGGCGCAGAGTTCATCTATTCTACTTAGAACCACCGCGTTCATCCACAGTGCGTTTCCAGAGATCTTTTTTGCCACCTACCGTCCGGCTTTGGAAGGAACTGCCTACCACGGTGTATCTTTCAAATGAGGCTTGCGGAAAGTATTTAGTGTTCGCTGCTTAACACTAAATGATTTACTGTACTCCTGGCATTATTACTGGCATTGCTGACGATGGTCACCGACAAAAATATACTTAAACACGTTCGAATATAGAGGGTGTTCCAAAATGGGTATGTGAAGCTGAAAGGACAATGCCCATTTGTGCCCCAGAAATGCCCAGATAAAGTATAGGTATTACAAGATTGCTCTAATAAATAAAAACTAGAATTATGTTGTTAATTTTAAATCATATGAAGCACTGGATAAAAGAAATTTAATAATAAGACTTCTTGTTGACATTGCAGTACGTATCATCGTTTTAATCATTAATTCATGCTTTAAGTTCCTAGTGAAAAACTAATAGCAATGCTGTCTGTAAACGATATAATGTATAAAAAACCAGTATGAAGTTATTATGTTTAATGTCCAATGTCTTTTGAACCTGTGCTTTATATGACATTAAATCTAGATATCATATAAATACTGTTAAAAGGTTATCATATGACATAGAGCTGCAATTCGGGCATTGCTGACTTTCAACTCCATACTAATATGGGCGTGGTACTTTGACTGTGATTCCGATAGAGGCACCCGTCACGTGCGGACGTGCTCATCGACCACTCGATCGCCCGGTCTTTGTTCGCCCGGCTTTTGTTAGCCCGGCCATTGTTCGCGCGGCCTGTGTTCGTGATACATCTGCCGACCAAGTGTGTTTCCTGGAAGCTTTTATTTGTTTTGTTTTAGTTATTTTTGTGTTCGTGGAACATTTGCCGACAAAGTGNGTTAGTGAGGCAATTGATCATGCTGAAGCTGTTGAAGATCCATTCTCCGACTCTGATCGAATAACGGGCGAGGACGCACCGCCGTCAGGAGAGGCCGTCTAAGGAAAGAAGACCTAGGAAGTGGGCGTGGCCTGCTGACGTAATACAGCAGCGACTTCAGACTGGTCGGAGTTGAAGAGGGGAGTTGAGGACACCACTAACACATTGCCTCGTTCACGGCCTCTTTCTGATCTCGGCACCAGGGATAGACGGACGTTGTACATTCGCGTGTCAACTTAGTTACCCACATTTTGTCATTAGTGTTTAAAATCAATAATTGTTGAAAGTTGTATTTTGTATTGTTCTAATTATATTTTTTAAATATTTTGAGTCGTGATTTCTAATTATATATAATATAAATATGTTAAGATGTCGCATCTCTTATACACAGCATTCCCAATTACAAGAGCAATGTGATTTAAGGATGAAAAATGAAGAACACCACAATACTACACATCGAAAAAGAAGTATCACTTCATTCACGTACACCAAGTTGCACGCGCAGCGTTTTCTTATTTTACTTTTAAATCACTACATAAAAACACATCAATCACAGCACATGAAGTCATACCTTTGAAATAGTTTATTTTAACCCCAAATGACGTCACATTTAATGAATACCGTTCAATAGCGTTTTATAGTTTCGTAATTAAGAAAAATGGGAACCAGCCGTTTGACGCATGATAAGAGGATTCGCTGCGCGGACCTCACATAATGTGGAATAAGGATAGGAAGAAGAAACCATCCGTTTTCTTCTTATTATTCTCTTCATTTGAGATTTCAGCCACGTCCAAATAGACTATGGGTTTGGGTTGAAGCGACCGTTGAGCGAGAGAAGTATGGAGTCGGCGTACAGTCAGCGATACATGGCGACGTCGGGGCTGCGGTAGAAACACATGTAGGCGTCGGCGAGCAGGCGGCGCGCGAGGGGCGGCGCGCGGGGCGCGGGGTCCGCCTCGCTCAGCCACGCGCCTACCTCCTTCATACTCACTATTTCCGGGATGTTGTACCCGTCGCGCTCGCCTGCAACGTAATTTTTTTTTTAACGCCGGTATTTTTGATACTACATATATATAGAGAATCCTCGAAGGATATGTTTAATGAAAGAAATTACAAAAAATGCTAATGACTATATTGCGAGTCTTTCCATGAAACCATTAGAATGAGTTTATTGAACAAAAAATAAATATCAATAAATTATTTTTAATTTAATAGCATAGAGATAATTTTGTAGGTATTTTAATTACATATTTTGTTCTTGAGGGTAATTAAATTGTTATTTGTCTTCGGCGGAACCATCAAAGAACACAAGATATTCTTCTCAATGGGTCGCGATTCCGATCCGGTCGGAAAGGACTGCTCTTGCTAGAGTCAGTGTTAGCGAATTCTCTCAGGTCGAGAGCCCGTGGGGTTCACCTACCAGTTGGCGTGTAGTTAAAATGCCTCTTAGGCTACCAACAGTTAGGTAGGAGAAAAAAGCTCACGTGGACACTGATGATAGCATACCTTTTCTGTCGGCCATGGAATCGAAGAAGCACCACGGTGCATCGTGACCGACGCCGGCTTTCACGAAGGCCACGTAATGACTGGTCTCAATGCAGAGCACCGCGAACAGTTCCATGTACACGCGCGGGACGGGACATGACTCGAGTATACTGGAGTACTCTTCGAATACCGTCAGTGGCGTTGCCTGTGAGCCACGGAGAGACATTTAATAAAAATAATTATTTTAAAATATGAATATAAGCATATTTAATATTGATTTGCGTTATGTTGGTAAATTATATTGCAGTTTTATTTTAATTATATTTTATTTTTAATTGCTACTCTGAGATAGTATAAGAAAACAAATTTATGGTCATGTTAATCAAGAAATAAATAATAGTTTAAAAAAACTAACAAAATACGCTTTTATAGAAAATCCAACTAAAAAATAGAAAATAAAATTTAATAAATTGGAATTAAAAATAGTGTAACAAAAAATTATTCTATTGTAAAAAAACGTGGGGTGGTTTTCAGGATATTATCAAAATAACCCTTCTACTCATATCTGTTCATAAAATATTTATAACTACTGATATAATAACCGGCAAACTTCTTGAGCATTTGTTGACGTAGTGGGGGTAAGTTTGCGCATGGTACACTCACGTGCAAAAACATTACTTACTCTGCGTCATAATGCTATTAAATTATTAAAATCAACATATGTATTTATTTATATATTTATTAGAACATCAACAAAACATATAGGTTAATAATTGTAATAATTTAATCTTGGGGTAAAATAGATATTCCTTCTATTAAGTCAAAACTAGAGCTGTTGCCAGGTCTTGGTTCAGTTAAAGCGAAGCTGGTATTTGTAATTTTTTTTTCGTTATCATAATCTTGACCATCATCATCATCACTGTTTTCATCACCCGAGTCGCTATCATCGTGATGAGTCGACATAGGGCTCATCGGCGTAGTTTACAACTCGGTCGATTCGGTCTTCTTTTTTGTCTATAATTAATTATTTTTTGAAGATATTCGATTCGTAGTAATCGAATGTTACTTTTTTCATTTACCAGCTTCCGATTATTTTCTGTTCTTTTTTTCCATCTGAAGCCTAGCTCTTTCATAATTCGTCGTAAGCTTCATTCCGAGCCATTAAAATTTATATCTTCTTTAAATTTTTCGAAGCCTTTCTACGGTACGGAGTTTCGCTGCTTGTTATGTAGTTATTATGATTACATCTTTTTATTACAGATTGAACGAAACTATCCATTCCGGTAACTTTCTTCTTCCCTGATCTTTTCTTACCCGGAGTCCGAAACACGGCGAGCAAGCCAGAGCCTTTAGCTTCGTTAATAATGCACCTAACAGTACTCACTGATGTTTTTGTTGCTTCCGAAGTCTGTTTTAATTTTTCCATATCATTCTTCCCCTGTTTTATAATGAAGCAATATACGTCGTACACAATTTTTCTACCCTTTCTTTTGAATACTACACCAGTTTGTCGCGGCATAGTGTATTTTTTATAAAAAATCAACAAACACTCAACAAATATCAATGGCAACAAAGTCAACAAGCAATTATAACAAAATTTATTAACGATTAATAACGATAGACTTTTCACTGTACGCAAGCGTACTTTTGGGAACAAGCGGAACGGAGGCGCGGTGCGGGACGCAAGGTTCGACTGATCTACCAATAACGCGCTCGATACGATTTCCCCTGCCGTCGCGCCTCACCCTCACCACCAAAGTGATCTAAAATTCGGTTCTGCGCAGTCAAGGTCATTTGCTCAAGAAGTTTGCCGATTACTATACCATGCACCCCACCCTTTTTTTTACAACAAAATCATTTTTTCTTACAGTATTTTTAATTCAAATTTATTAAGATTTATTTTCTATTTTTTAGTGGGATTTTCTATAAAAGCGTATTTTTTTGTTTTTTTAAACTATTATTAATTTTTCATTTTTTTCAATAATTTTTTTAATATCGAATTGTCATCGGTCCTTAATAAGTATACCAAATTTCGAGTTAATCCGACGTTTTGAAGGGGGTCAAAATCATGTTCAAAGATTCCGTTACATACTAACATACATACGTCTGAAGTTAATAAAAGCGTATTAATGTAATATCGACGGGTTAAATGTCTGAAGGAACAGTTCATATCGTAGCGGGATGTGACGTGGACCTTGTGCTGGCGTGTCGAGTGCGCGCGCCGCAGACAGGCGCGGCAGAGCGCGGCGGCGTCGAGCGCGGCGCCGCGGGCGCACTCCGCACACTCCCAGCGCGCCAGCCCGCCGCACACAGCGCACTGCCGCGGAACTACGCAGCGTCGGAACGCTCGCTCAGTAAAATATTCCCAATATTGGAAATAAAAACTCGAATTTTCATATTATAATTATTTTTTAAAGTATTACACGACCATTTTTAGAACATCTCTTAAATAAAGTTGATCCCAAAAATGTAATCTCTAAAAAATACAGTCATGATTCCGGTTTGTAGTTTTAAGATCCGACTTTATGCTTCGGATATCAAGGTTTATAATTACTTAATTATTATTTTTAATTGCTTTTAATAGACAAACGATTTCCGTAGTAGAATTGCAGGATCATGCAAAATACGGATTTACAATGAACAGTTATCCATTGTGTTTTGTGAGTACTATGACATTTCTTTCTTAAATGGTGAGTTAAAATTAGTATTCAGCAGTAGACCAGCATAGTGCACGAGTGATGGCAATCGATCACTATCAGCTGGTTCGTATGTTCTGTTTTCGAAGGCAATTAAAAATAAAACGATATTTTTAGGCTATTTGTTAAAATAAACAACTCACGTCCTTCAATGAGATCAGTGACGTCCAATAACGGCGATGGCATTACACGCTGATACAGTTTGTATTGTTTCCCGAACCTCGGCATTTGGATTATGAAAGCGGCCGGGACCTAGAAGATTAGTTTCAAAGTTTGAATCTTTTCAGCTTCAAAGATGTTTCAATTCGTTTTAATTTTTTTTTAATATTGTGACTTATTTTCGTTCAGAGAACCTTGTTTATTTCATTTGATATTTAGAAGCAAATTTCGATTTCTGAGCCGCTAGGGACGAGGGTGTGTCGAAATAGAAAAAAAGAAATAAAAAAATGCTACCGTATTTTAGATCTTCTTCCAAAATGAAATGCCTACTTACTATATTGATTTATTTAGGGTTCCGATCCTCATAAAGAAAAAAAGAATCCTTATCGAGAGAACAATCTTGTTGTCGATCTACATGTCTCCTCGACAATTAAGACCTTTTTCTCAGGTAGCAATTAGTAGCAATTATTAAGATTTAATTCATTCATTCGTTCATTATATTCATATAGTAACAGGTAAACGTAAGTTAATAATAAAAAAACTATCTAAAAACAATAAATTTGTATGTATGACAAAATAAAACCATTTTTTTGATTTACAAACTTAGCAAAGCGTGGGTCGTTACGTAAAAAAAGTTTGATAGCTAAATTTTGTGGATAACTAATTTAAAATCTTTCTAAAATGTCACTTAATTTCATATTTAATTAATATTATTTTATTTTATATGAAAATGAACTATGTAAAAATATTGAAGGCTATTTTTACATTTACAAAAATACCCACATCTACGATTCCAAATAAAAGATTCGTTTCTATAAAGATCGCGTTACCTCGCTGAGTTTCACACCCGAAGTAGCAAACGACTGTTCGAGCAGTTGCTGCACCGTCGGCAGGGAGACGTGTTCATCCTTTTCGACAAAGAGCTGATAGCAGAACGCTTCTTGGCCTGATGATAATTTGAGAAAAGGTTCGGCCCGTAAGATCTGTGCCACTAAGCCGTTCAAGAACTCTTCCGGATCCTGGAAGTGTGATCAACAACTATTTTATGCGAGTCTTATCCTATAATCATGAACCATTCTGTCAATACTTTAATCTATATATATAAAAATGAATTGCTGTTCGTTAGTCTCGCTAAAACTCGAGAACGACTGGACCGATTTGGCTAATTTTGGTCTTGAATTATTTGTGGAAGTCCAGAGAAGGTTTAAAAGATAGGTAAATATGAAAATGCTCGGAATTAAATAAAAATAACAATTTTGTTTTTCCTTGGTGTCCCCCGTCGGACGGATTCCTTTTTTTAAGTTTTAAGTTTATTTTATACAAAAGTTTTGGTCTTTTATTTATCGATTGAGGCACTACGGAGTCTGCCGGGTCAGCTAGTAATAAATAAAATTAAAACCCTTCACGAGTCGCTATATTTAACAATACGGACTGATTTATTATTTCAATAACAGTACACGAAATGCTTCTCACAAGTTCCAATACAATGTACTAATCACTTATACCAATTTGTATGTCTTTCCCTACCTATTCTTTGGTAAAACCTAAGAGGCTATTCCAGCTACGCCCGGACGGGTAGGTGAGCTCACGGGCACAACCTGAGAGAATTTGGTAACACTAGCCTTAGCAAGAGCAGTGCTTCGCAGAATCTACCACCGGAGCGGAAACGCGACCCACTGAGAAGATCCGGCGAGAAACTCTGTGGCCTAATTATATGTGTATAATTTACAAATTTCTCTTTTCACCTTTTCCTATCGAATCTAATTGAATATGTAATTTCGAAAAGGGCACATCTCTGAATGTAAAATGTTCAGGAAATGAAAAAAACTGATTATTTTGTAAAGCAGTGTAAAATTTAAAATATTAACTTTTGAGATATATTTTAGTGTTAATTAGCAATTGAAAATTACTGGAATTATTATAAAATAAGTAGGTAAGCCTCAAAACTACATGTATATGAAAAAACGTATTTGACAAAATATGCGACATGTGCCCTTTTCGAAATTGCATATTCAATTGATTAAAATGGTTTTTTTTTTTTAGTTTCAGTCAGTAATGTTATGAAAGACGTTTATGTTATACCTTTTCTTCAGAAGTGAGTCCCGGCACATCGGAGAGTCGTTCGAGCAGCGTGCGCAGTTTCATAACCCTGTCGGCGCGGACGTACCCGTGCTTACGGAGCGGGTTCACGATTTCTTCGCGCAGTACACGCTGCACTTCCGAATAATGCGGTGAATCCTGAATAATTAATACGCTTTTATTTGCTTCAAACGTATGTTTTTTTTTTGTTTAGATGGGTAGACGAGCTCACAGCCCACCTGGTGTTAAGTGGTTACTGGAGCCCATAGACATCTACGACGTAAATGCGCCACCCACATTGAGATATAAGTTCTAAGGTCTCAGTATAGTTACAGCGGCTACCCCACCCTTCAAACCGAAACGCATTACTGCTTCACGGCAGAAATAGGCGGGGCGGTGGTACCTACCCGTGCAGACTCACAAGAGGTCCTACCACCAGTAATTACGCAAATTATAATTTTGGGTGTTTGATTTTTATTACACGATGTTATTCCTTTACCGTGGAAGTGAATCGTGAACACTTGTTAAGTATGTATTTCATTAGAAAAATTGGTACCCGCCTGCGGGATTCGAACACCGTTGCATCGCTCGATAAGAATGCACCGGACGTCTTATCCTTTAGGCCACGACGACTTCGATGTATTTAGTATGTTATACGACTTATGTAGGTTAGTATGTAATGGAATCTTTGAACATGATTTTAACCCCCTTTAAAACGTCGGATTAACTCGAAATTGGGCATACAGATTAAGGACCGATGACAATTCAATATTTAAAAAAAAATATTGAAAAAATTGAAATTCAACTAAAAAATGAAAAATAAATAATTGTTTAAAAAAATTTAAAAAGTACGCTTTTATAGAAAATCCAACTAAAATATAGAAAATAAATTTTAATAAATTTGAATTAAAAATAATGTAAGAAAAAATGATTTTATTGTTAAAAAAGTGTGGGATGCATGGTATCAGTAGTTATAAATATTTTATGAACACATATGAGTAGAAAGGTTATTTTGATAATATCCTGAAAAGCACCCTACGCTTTTTTACAATAGCATAATTTTTTCTTACACTATTTTTAATTCAAAATTATAAAAAAATATTTTCTATTTTTTAGTTGGATTTTCTATAAAAGCGTATTTTTTTTACTTTTTTTAAACTATTATTTATTTTTTAATAATCGTAAATATACTGTGTAAACGAGAAGTTATCTTTTCCCTTTTCTAATCGTTGGTGGCCTACGAGATTATTTCAACTACGCGCGGACGAGTAGATGAGCTCACGCTGCTCAATCTAAGAGGACTTGCTAACACTAGTATATTGGTGAGGACCTTTAATTGGCTTTTTGTTTCTATTATTTGTTATAATAATATTATTATACTATGTCAGTTGGCTGTTGGTACTCCTTGTAATAAATAAATAAATAGTCCTAGCAAGAGCAGTACTACGTTGAATCGGTGGTTAAGCATACAAAAGCTCCTTGTTTGCGGACAAATCAATAAACAATTAAAATTTTATATTTCTAAGGTGATGTTTTTTTAAGGAGCAGTGGAATGTTATTGGCATATAAAAATAATTTAACTGTTTTTATTTTAAATTCGGTAGTTATAACTGTTGATACGCACCTCTGGTTCCGGTGGCCTGTACAACAAAGCGTCGAACACGCTTGTGAAGGTGAACATAGCGAACAGCGTTGCGTCGAGATAACAAGAATTGTGATGACCTTGAATACCCCTGTTTTTCCCTGCTAGGTCCCCCAAGGAAGTAAGCGGTGGGATCACGCCTGGTACTACAGGACACTCTGGCTGCAATGTCAACAAATAAATCACATCAACCAGCTATATTTACTACTAATACTTCTGAAAAACTAAATACGTAATAACATATCGTATTCATAGAGAGGGCTTTTTTTCTTCTTATGAAATGTTGCCAACATTTACAATTAAAACAACGGGTTTGTTTGTGATTTATTGTTCAAGCAATTCTAGTTCCGTACGAATTCCCAGATATAGTATTTTTATTGCCACTGTAGGCAGGCGAGCATACGGCCCACTTGATGGTGAGTCGTTACCGTCGCCCATGGACTTCAGCAATGTTAGGAGCAGAGGCAAGTCGCTGCCTACCGTTAAGTACTCTCCGCAAGCCTCGTTTGAAGAAGGACATGTCATAGCGCTCTGGAAACAAAGTTCACCCACCCGACTATGTATAGAACAATTGTTTTTTTTTTTTATAATAGAAGGAATTAGTTAGTGCCATATACTAGTTCTTCAGAGCAGCATCGTGTTATGTAGAAATGAGGCGCTACTGGTGATTATGGTACGTGAATTTCATACGTAAAATTATCAGATATTGTTTTAATTTTATTACACTTTATTTTTAATAAAAATTGGTAGGTAAATGCGTCAGATTAAAATGCATTTCGGATGAAGATTTATTACAATAGTGCACACTTCAACACAAAAAAAAAAGTTTGTCGAGTTCATTTTTTTGTTCTATTTTTATTTTTCATTGCGTTTTATTCTGTGGTTGATTAATTGATTTCTTCCAACATAGTAGAACTCGTTCGTGAACTTATAATATTAATTTGTACTTAATTATACTGAAAAATTATAATAGCAGCTTTCATGGATCCATATTTCGATTAGACCAGAGAATTGAGGGTGACGGGAGAGATGTGCTCCGCACTAAGCGCTTCACTTTCCCCCCTTTGCCTTTTCATGAGTTCTGTCTCATGCGAGGTTCGGACGTTGATAGTTGAGCGACAGCAGGCATTAGTCGGTTCGATTCCAAAATGCCCCGCCCGGCATCCCCAGTGGAGGGCGGAAGTCCGGCGATTTCCTCCTGACAAAAAAAGCGCAATTATACTGACCTGTTCGCTAAGTTGAACATGGTGGAGGTCGGGTCTGTCGGGCGGGGGCGTGTCGCGGAAGCGTGCGTCGCGGCGACACAGCGGCAGCGGCACGAACAGTGCCCTTCCCGATGCGCACTCGAACAACTGCACGCCGCCGCGGCTGCCGTCCCCCAGGCCGCACACGCTCTCCTCCAGCTCGACACCCGCGGTTGCAGTGTCTGCCCGTAGTTGTGTACTTTTAAGGCTTCGTCAAACAGAACGCGTACTTAGCGCGCCTCAGAACGCTAAACTGACGGCGCGCTATGACGCCGAGATGTGTTGTAGTTACTATTATAATATACTGTCAAACAGAGACACAACAAGTTTTATTTTAGCGTCCGAGTGAATGTGTATTAAAATACCGGATAATGCCCGAAAACTTGATAGAATTAGTTAGAAAATACCCATGCTTATACAATGCCACATCGGAATCACTCGACATCTTAATACTTTTAAATTTTCAGACTGCTATAGAAAGGCACTATGATTTAGCGGATGTTACGTTGCGTCAAGGATCGTTAGGCTCATTACAGTCAATTTGTGTGACCTGAAAAGAGCGCGACGTTAAAGCGCAGCGCTAAGTACGCGTTCTGTTTGACGAAGCCTTTAACGTAAAACACGTCATTTCGGGTCCTCCCGATCCACTATCGGTGCTTTTAGGTACCACGAGCACGGGACACCGTTCCCGTCGCTTGCGACGAAGGGCTTGGCGAGTAAATTAACCCATAGATAGCCTACAGTAACATATTATTATGTAGCTACACCTTTATTACAACCAAATACAAACTGTCTTAATTTTTTTCAACTTTAGGTATTACTTATTATCGTTTTGTATTTTTTAACTGGAGGCTCACTTACAAAAAACATCTTGAAACGAGTACAGAGTTCATTTTTATTTCTATTGTCAACAAGTGAGCATACGGTTTACCTGATGGTGGGTGGTTACAGTCGCTCGTGAGTGTTAGCAATGCCACAGGCAAGCCTATACCTACCGAAAGCAACGCGTCTTACCCATTGGGTTACGGACTCTTCAAACCACGGATTTCATGTATTTAACAATATAATAGATGTAGATTCATTAAGACTTACCATCAATGATACCAATCCACCTCACAACTCCGTAGTAATGTTGATCTACATCTGTAGCAACCTCCACCAGGGATCCCACGCCGATTTCGTCTTGTAAAATATCTACCGAAGCTTTTGGAATCGGCGCCACAGCCCGAGGTGAACCCAAAGCTGGAGAATCGTAGACATTTTCGCGTTGTTCAGCGCTGCACACGTCTGTTAGATAGAAGTTTATTTTATATTATACTTACTAAAATCTCAATTCATTTCCTGATTTCAATTCTTGATTTGAGCCTTGGAAATTATAAAATAAATAGAATCAAGCACAAGATTTTGTCATGAACTTTTTGTAATCATGTTTATGGACGTCAACTAAAGAAAAGCTATGAAAACACTAGACTTTATTTGTCGGACAATACATACAATCTTCGTTTTCATATTCTAGAACACAAAGCGGTATTTCTTCGATAGGTAATACAGGTAAATACGAATAGGACATGTTTAAAAATTGGATAAAGTGCGAGAAATCGGCGTCGTCGCATCTGTACACGGGTTCACACACCGCGGCGTACTATTTTTAAAATCACTCTGTGCTAGAAAAACTAAAATAGGACGAATTGGGAGACTTGGAATCAGTGTTGTAAGGTATTATAAGTGGTGTGTTTGTTGAAGAGTATTGTTGATGTGATGGATTTTAATTATTGGGAAGGACAAAAAATATATTTATAAACATGGTATGAGAGTTATAATATGAATTATTAATTATTTAAAAATTATGTCCAGTTTACATTTTTTTTTTCACTGTTGATTTTATTTTGTACATGATAACATAGATAGATAGTAAGAAAGAAGACATTACTGACTATAAATAACTATATATAACGGAAAAGTGATTTTTCTGCTTAATATACTGCTATAATACGTATGCTAATGACATTTTTAGTATGTACTATTGAAGTATACCAAATTGAAATATAAACAAACAAAAAAAAAATTTTTTTTTAATATGTTTTCCACTGATTATACATAATAACTTCATTAGTGTATAACATAAACATTGATTACCCGAGCAACATCAATTAGTGTGCTACTTAATTTTTTAGTGTTTGTTATAACTCAGTAATATATCTGTTGTAACTACTTTTTTAACTAAAATGTTTCTTTTTTAATAACAAAATAGTTCAAATAAATTACATGTTGTTTCAATCTGTCACTGTGGAAAAGGATTCCAGTGTATCTGTGCATTTCACATTTGAAAATTACAGCTACTTAATGATTAAAAGCACTGGAAGCACCAATTTATTTAGTGACAATTTCATGTCAAGGTTTCTTTGCTCAGAACTTACCAACTAAGATTCCAGTTTCTACAGTTTTAGGTTCTTGTATCATTTTGGGTTTTTGTTGATTTTCTTCAGTACTTAGAATAGGACTGTTGCTTGATGTTGATTTAATCCTACGTCTATCAGGTGCCAAGTGAGCTATAAGGTTGGCAGATTTCACTCTGTCATTGTGTGAATTGCGCTGCATGGTTGCTGTGGAGTGCTTAGACATTGATCCATAATCAGCACACTCAGGTTCTCGAGGAGCCGGTGGCCAGCTTCCTCCAATTAAATGAAATAAATCAACCTAAAAATTTTTCATTTTTACAAGTGCAACTTTTAGTTCAACTATCCATTTAAGATATATAATATAAAACAAATTTCCTTTGCCCCATTAGCAAAATTGTTTCAATAAATTTTGATTTTAAAAGTAAGCATAATGGTTATATCAAAAATATACAGTAATATCAATATCAGCCATAAAATTAAATCTGCATTCATTATTATATATTATTTTTTATAGAATGTTAGTTGACATCTGTATTTTCAGTGAAACATGCCATACATACAAGTGGTTGGAAAACAGGGTACCAGTATTTGTGGAATAAGCAAACCCAAAGCAGTTACTACATTTTTTTGGCTTTTATTTGGCTACTGCTTCAGCATTAACTTTTCTTGAATGAGAACTTCACCTCTTCATAATTATATTATTGACTGAAATATATTTTATCACTACTTTTGCCATATCAATTGACTGGTAAAATCTGATCCCAACTTAGCAGTTCATTAAATGCTTACCCAAATATCTCTTTAAAAGGTCCTAGAGGATTTTATCTTTTCATCTCAAAACATTATCTCTATAATTGACTTTAACAACATGTACTATGGCATTTAGTGCTGACCTGCTTGTATATATGGCACATCTAATGGATATATTTAATATATTTGAGATAAAGTAGGAGCAAATATATGTTTTATTAGTATTTAAATATTTGAAGATAAATATTAGTTAGTATGCAAAAAGTCAATGATAATTATTAATAATCAATAGTACTGCCTCTTTAAAGCTGTTTCCTTATTATTATCTACCATGAAAATGTATTTATTTATGAAGACTTCTCACAAAGAGAATGTGTTTATTTAAGTTAATAACAAACCATTCAAAAAAAACTTTAAAAAAACCTGGTCATTTGCGTTGATCAATATATTATTTCCAATCATTTTATTGTTTTCATCATTCATTGTACAGTTTTGAATTGGAATCTACAAAATTATTTTTAGAGCATAAAATCTTTTGTTATTATAAAATTTTTTGATACTTTATTTACTTCGCTTTTTCATAAAAATACAAGCAGACAAGCGGACTGTTCACTTGATGTTCAGTGGTTTTCAAAGAATCTAGACTAGACATGAATACTGCTGCCTGTCTTGCAACATGAGATTAAAGTTTCAAATGTGGCAATTGTCCTATCATTAAACTGGAGAAAAACACTTTTTTCACTTGATTGGTACCTAACTAATCAAGTATTATCTACATGGAGAGCACCAAGAGATTACAGTAATTTATCGGTCTCGCAAGTCTTAGTCATAATTACTAAGCTGTTTGTTATTCGTAGACTTCACGAAAACTGTGGCGCGAGATAAAATCACAAAAGTAGTTTCAAGTTTATAAGTAATTCGAAAAAAAACAATTTCAAATGACATACCCCAATTAAAAAGTGTCACACATTTTTGTTTGTTTTCATAAATAATTACCAGAACTATGCATAGAGCAATTATTTTCAATTAATACAATTCGGGGTGATAGCTTCGAGATAAAATTGTAATTAATTAACTTCATAATTTTTTTTATTAATTATTTATTTGATGTATGTACATATTTATTAGTGACAATAAATTATGTAATATCTTTAATTAAATATTTGTTGATTGATATCATAGATTATTATTTAAATAAATTGTTTCAAATTTTATTTGCTACATACTATTCAATTACGTTTATGACGTATTTGATATGGGAATAAGTGTATTATCTATGGTGATAATAAAATGTCTTTATTTACGTATCACTGTTATTTAAACATTTGTTCAAAGATTTCATGGCAGTAGTCAAATACAACAGTTCAATTTTCAATACAAATTCTTTGATGCTAAAATAAATACATATTATGTAGGTACTACTAGGGGTGAGGCGTATTTAGCGGAACAGTCAAACGCAACAGGGAAAAAACTTGGAACTGTTGTCTATAGACCGAAAGAACTGTTCTAGCTGTTCCACAATATTCCATATATTGCGTTGTTACGTTCCACAGCAAACAGCCAGAAACGAAACAGTTTGGAACAAGCTCTTTTTCCTTTTCACGTACAGAAATAGAAAAAGATAGCATATACATACATCCAGTTCCCAAAAAGTTTGTAACATGCTCTTTTCTCCTTTCACTTATTGTAATAGAAAAAGATAGCAATAACATTAACATGCATGCACGTTTTGGAAAAACTAGTTTCACATATCATTAATATTAAAAAATCAAGTTGTCAGTCTTAAGCCTGAGAAAGTATGAAGGATTTAAGATTGAAGGTTTTCATTTCAAAAAATGTATTAAAATCATTTCATATGTACGACTGTTCCTTAATGTGGAACATATTCTACTTAAAACGTTATTAAACCTGTTGCAACACAACATGCTGTAATATTGGAACGGGCTGTTATATTGAAACAGGCTGTTATTTTGGAACAGGAATGTTCTTTCACTGGAACAGGAACAGGTGGAACAGGTCTCTAATTTCACCTGTTACAGACTATGTCTAGTAGGTACATACCTACTTCAATCAAATTTATTTTTTCAACATTCTTTGTTACCCTTGTGTCCCATTAGACAAAGGGAATATATCACCTACGAAGCTTAAGAATAATGTAGGCAATTTTTAGTACCAGATTTTATTAGTTTCATTAATCGTGGATTCTCTCGTTATTCCAAAAAATCCACTGAAATCTTACCAATTTCCACTACTTTAGTAATCCTGAGAAACTACTTCATCATACTATCTAATTAAATTCCGCTTCACTTCAATTTTTTTTTTGTAGAATCAATTCATAATTTTGGTTTTCATTCAATTCATTTCATTTTTCAATATCAATATAGTGCCGATTGTTTGCTATCTAATAATATAGTACTTCGGCCTAAATGTTACATTCCCTTTGCCTTTATTTGTCCAATTATGCAAATAAATCATGGTCCGTCCGCAAAGTTGACGATTTAATTGCGAATAATATTTTGAAGAAAATTTTCAAATTCATTTTATGCTGTAAGTAAGTACATATGTAATAAAGTTTTACCTATTTTTTGCACCAAAAAACTACTTCAATTCTTGGATAAAAAAAAAAAAAATTAAAATGACGTTTGTGTAGGTCAAGAAAGTCAAGGGCAAATTAATGTTTTTAAATTCAAAATTCAGGACTTTCGTATATCATTGTATGTTTAAAACTGAATCACTAAACTCATCAAAACTTTTATTTCATTTCCGATAAGCACAATCCTTATGGTCTGGTACGATCCGAGAAAGGTATCATGCCATACAAGTATCAATGAGAGGACATAGAGGTCGTTGATATGAAATTAGATTTTTTATAGGTTTTAAATGTTGGGTATCTAGTTAAGTAGCTATAAAAATTTGATATTGATAGATACTCTTCCTTTCACACTGGGTTGTGTTCGCGAAATAAAATTTAATGCCACTGTTTCATGCCCAGAGTCCATATTAATTCACATCAACGAAATCAAAAGTAACATAGATGCCCAAAGCATTAATGAAGAATATCTATGTTGAATAATTTGCTTAAAAATGGCTATTGACTTAAACTGATTTAGCAATAATTAGTAATCAAAATGGAACATTAACAAATAAAAGAAATTTAAAATCACACAAAACACTCCTGTCCGAGATATTGAAAAACAATCCTATGTTGTAAACTGGGCTGTTTGAATACTGCAACAACTATTAAAAATTAATTCTACTTTATGTAGTATTCTACAGAATTATGTACTACTCCAATGACAAATAAATCATAGTATGTTTTAATTAGTATAAAATGTTGAATTGGGCTTTTGTTACTATTATTATTGTTTAGTTAATATTTGTTTAGTTAATATTGGCATTAATAGTTGTTTGAATACTGCAACAACTATTAAAAATTAATTCTACTTTATGTAGTATTCTACAGAATTATGTACTACTCCAATGACAAATAAATCATAGTATGTTTTAATTAGTATAAAATGTTGAATTGGGCTTTTGTTACTATTATTATTGTTTAGTTAATATTTGACTATATGAAAAATTTATAAAGAAAAATATTAAATGCTTTATTTTTATAGTAGGAATCTTTACACAAAACTTGTTTATTTAATTTTTCAGTCAATTCCAGAGAGAATGATTCGTCAAGGAAGCATAGATGACATTAATGCACAACAATATCTAAAGATTTCTAATTATGAAGACACTGTAAGGCAACTTGACATTTGTTATGCAATTGGTTTGTAATTTATTCTTTTTTCTGAATCATTTTAGTTGAATAAAATGACAACTACTAATTTTTGCAGTGAAACGGCAACTTCTACGATTCCAAAGTCCCATAACAGGATTGTTTCCTGTACTATCAACAGAGTTTGAAATAGGAAGTGTGAGGGATAGCATTTACTGTGCTGCAGCTGTTTGGGGTTTATATCAAGCATACAGGTAATAAGAACCTTGTAATTTAAATATCTGTAAATAGATAAACATATTGTTAGCTTGATTGTTTGTAAAAACCTAGTTGTAGAAAGAGGGTGGCTGGGTTTTGTCACATCTTGTAAATAATAATATTATACAACATGATAGAATATTAAATTAAATTTCAGACGTATTGATGATGACCGAGGTAAATCACATGAACTTGGCCAAAGCACAGTAAAGTGTATGAGAGGCATTTTGGAATGTTGGATCAAACAAGCACCTCGTGTTGAAGCATTCAAGACAAGGCAAAGTGCTGCCCATGCATTACATGTGAAGTTCCACCTTACTACTGGTGAACCGGTCTTGACTGATGACCAATATCATCATTTACAAATTGATGTTGTGTCACTGTATCTACTATTTCTTGTCCAGATGATAACATCTGGCCTACAAATTATATACACTCAGGTAACATAATATAATAATATATCAAAGCCGGTTCCACAGCAACACCTGCACTAATTTCAGTATAAATGACAAATATATAAATTTAAAACTTAAATTAATAATGTTTTTTGTTGTAAAATCTCAGACTTTCATGGGTTAAAGAGGTAGAAACAAATGAACACATTTTTAGGTACTCTACCCCAGTTTCATATCACAAACATTCAGGTCACAACTCATAGCTGCAAGATTCCTACTATGGTGGGCATTAATAACTGATAAGCCCTTTTGGCTGAACTACATAAGCATGTCTGGTGAAGCATAATCAATTGAGGCTACTTGTGCACAATAAAAATAAACCCCAAAAGTACTCATTAAAAGTATTGTTGCAGGATGAAGTAGCATTTGTACAGAATCTTGTGTACTATGTTGAACGAGCATATAGAACACCAGACTATGGAATGTGGGAGCGTGGATCTAAATACAATGATGGAAAACCAGAAATCCATGCATCGTCAATAGGTAAACTATGTTACTGGTTCTAGTCCTCTCCCGACTAGGCGCGTCGACACTTCCGCCTCCGCCATTCGCCCAATCACGATGTTCGACCAGCCCATACCGTGGGCCCCGAAGGTAAAATACTTAGGCGTCACCCTCGACAGTAGGATGACATTCCGCCCCCATATTAAGACGGTACGCGACCGTGCCGCCTTCATTCTAGGACGTCTCTACCCGATGATATGCAAGCGAAGTAAAATGTCCCTTAGAAATAAGGTGACACACTACAAAACTTTCATACGCCCCGTCATGACCTATGCAAGTGTAGTGTTCGCTCACGCGGCCCGCATACACTTAAAATCCTTCCAAATTATTCAATCCCGTTTTTGCAGGATAGCCGTCGGAGCTCCGTGGTTCGTCAGGAACGTCGACCTCCATGACGACCTGGACTTAGAGTCCATCAGTAAGCATCTACAGTCGGCGTCGATGCGCCACTTCGATAAAGCGGCACGACACGAGAACCCTCTCATCGTGGCCGCCGGTAACTACATTCCCGATCCTGCGGACAGAATGGAAAGCAGTCGACGTCGCCCAAAACACGTCATCTCGGATCCTCCCGATCCACTAACGGTGCTTCTAGGTACTTCAAGCACCGGTCACCGTCCTCGTCGAACCCGTCGCTTGCGACGAAGGGCTCGACGAGTAAATTAATTCTCAGACACAGCCCACTGGGTTTCTCGCCGGATCTTCTCAGTGGGTCGCGTTTCCGATCCGGTGGTAGATTCTGCGAAGCACTGCTCTTGCTAGGACCAGTGTTAGCATCGTCGTCAGGCTTGAGCCCCGTGAGCTCACCTACAAACGTTAGGGCGAAGCTGAAATAGCCTCTCAAGGCTATCAGCATAGGTAGGAAAAAAAAAGGTTCTTAATTGGTTAACATTATTTTTTTAAACCAGATTTATTATTTATAGCGACCCGCCCTCGCTTCGCTTCGGAAACATTAAACACACATGAAACCAAAAAAATAAAATAATTTTTTTTTTTAAAAGTAGCCTATGTTCATCAGGGACAATGTCGGCTTCTAATGGAAAAATAATTTTCAAATCGGTCCAGTAGTTTCGGAGCCTATTCGAAACAAACAAACAAACAAATCTTTCCTCTTTATAATATTATTATTATTATTATTTATTACTTTTAGGTATGGCCAAGGCGGCTCTAGAAGCCATTAATGGTTGTAATTTATTTGGTGATAAGGGTGCATCTTGGAGTGTTGTCTATGTCGACATTGATGCTCACAATCGTAACAGGAGTATATTTGAAACAATGCTACCAAGGGAGTCTAGTTCGAAAGTAAGTTACAATAATGAAAAAGAAAGAAAATCTATTAGTGTAATAAAACTCTAAAGATGTTTATGATGCTTTCTCACTCAGTATTTTGTTGTAGGGAGTAGACGCTGCTCTTCTTCCGACCATATCATTTCCAGCTTTTGCCACTCATGAAGAACATTTGGTCCAACTCACCAAAACAAACATAGTAAGACGTTTGCAAGGGAAATATGGTTTTAAACGTTTTAGTCGTGATGGTTACAAATGTGTTCTCGAAGACCCGGATAGAAGATATTATCACGAAGGGGAATTGAAAAACTTTGATGGTCTAGAATCAGAATGGCCGCTCTTCTATGTCATGATGATTATTGATGGCGTATTTAGAACTTTACCCGACCAAGTTGAAGAGTTTCAGAAGCTTCTGAAAGCTAGGATTTTTATGGACGAACATGGAGGTATGTTTACGGACGTACTTTTTTATATGATTGTTTGAAGATTTTTCCTACCTAATCTCCGCTAGCCTCGTAAGACTATTTCGCCCCAAGCTGAAAGACCTTGTTAACATCTGCTCTAGCAAGACCAATACATTGCTGAATCTTCTACCACCAACTCGGAATCGCAACCCACTGGGAAGATCCAGTGAGAAACTCAGTGAGCTGTCTGTGGCTTAAGTTGATTTTCGAACCCTTAGTCGCATTCGACGAGTTCGACGAGAACGGTAACCAGTGTTAGGAATGCCTAAAGGCACTGAGTGGATCAGTGGAATCTGAGCCCGTATATGCGCCATCTTAGTGATGAAGTTACTGGGGAATTCCGGTTTGAAGTGTAGAACATCACTGAGTTTCTCGGCGGATATTCTCAGTGGGTCACGTTTCCGATCCGGTAGTAGATTCTGCGAAGCACTGCTCTTGCTAGGGCTTGTATTAGCAACGGCCTCAGGTTAGAACACCGTAAGTTCACAGTTCTCCCGGTTACGCTGACATAGCTCTCTTAGGTTAGCAGCTTAGGTAAGAAAAAAAAAGAAAAAGGGGGTATCCGAAATGACGTGCTTACGGCGACAGCGGCTGTACATTTCCCGGTTGTTTGGATCGGGTATGTAGTGGCGGTCACGAAAAGAGGGTTAATGTTTGAAGAATAAGTTGATTTCTTACGAGAGTTATATATTTTTATTTAATATGTTCTATTGTTATACCTACTTACAGATCCTGTAATTCCTTGGTATTACTATATACCCAAAGAAAGTGTTGAAAATGAACGCAATGAACCTAACTCAACTTGGAAAGTACCTTCTAGTGAGTATAATGTTATGTTTATTTTTAATCAAATTCTTAGTTTTGAGCACGTCAGATCCTGAACCATGTGCTGAGCTGTGTGACAAACAATAAAATTGTGAAAATAAATTTGACATTTATATAAATAATAAAATTACAGGTCACCCTGGTGATGAAAACAAAGGTAAACCAGTACTGGTCGTTTAAACTCACCCTGTTCTTTGACTTATATTAATACTCTCAATTACTAATTTTAATATTAACCACATAGGGTATATTGTAATCCCAAAAAAAATTCATTATTTCTTAACTTCTGCATAACTATTGCTTGTTGAAAACTTACATTTTATTAGTGTAGAACCATATCTAAAATAACATTAACTACTATACTGCTTATAAGAACCATCCTTACTATTTGTGTAGAAATTAATGTATGCATATAATATTCCTCTAAACTACCAAAAAAATGCACAGTACCCTAATATTATGAGCGATGGATAATTTGTGGCTTTATTGTGTAGTTTAAATTGAACATTCCAACAACGGCTCCCTCTGTATTTTGTACCGTATGTTCCATGGGGAATGCTCTGAGGAATTGTTTGAGATGATTCCCTCATCTCCTTTTTATCACCGCACCTCCCGCCATCGGAGCAGAGTTCATCCATATTATCTGGAACCGCTGCGTTCATCGACAGTGCGTTTCCAGAGGTCTTTTTTGCCACGTATCATCCGGCTATGGAATGAGCTCCCCTCCACGATGTTTCCCCAGCGCTATGACATGTCCTTCTTCAAACGAGGCAAATAAAAACATTCGACTCGTTTCTATAAAGTAAAATCGCTTAGTAATTACAAAAAAAAAAACAAAATTGATACCGATCAAAGCGTAACGGTAATAAAATATTTCTAAATTTATTAATTTATTAATTTCTTGACATTTAATTTCACATAGCTGAATTGTAACTACATTTATACAAAAACATATTTTTATTATCCTGATGAGTTTAACATACACACTTAAAAAATCGAACTATATGGCCCATAATTTCTACGTGCTATGTTTCGATTTTTGTATCTATGTATCATTATTAAAACTAATTTTATTATTGTAAATTATTCCCGACAAACTACATACAGTCATTATTTTAACTTAGAATATAACATTATCAACATATAAAAGGGTAAATTTAGCATATATGTATTATATTATATCGTAAACACTGCAAATGAATTTTAATGCAAAAATTGCCATAAAAATAAATTCATAAAAAATGCTGCCTTGTCATGGGTGGCTGTAGTGTAGTTAGCGCTTAAAGTACCGCGCCCGCGAAACTATGTAGTAAAGGCTTCTATAATGGCATTCTTAATTATTCAATTAGATTTACAAACGGTGGCAGGTTACGTAAACTTTAAAATACCTTATTTTAAAAAAAATCGATCGAATCTTGTAATAAAACTAATTGTCGAATTGGTTGTGGATTCCGATAGTAATAGCTTTACACTTTAAGATTTAAATAGTTAATAAAGAAAGATGTGTTAAATTCAGCCGGTTTGTTCCTGTGGGGGCAGTCGCTGTTCGTGCTGGCGCAGTTGCTGACCGGGGGCTTGCTGCACGTGAACGAACTCGATCCGATACGAAGGTATCTTCCATCCTACAACCGGCCCCGGCGCGCGGGCCGATATTCCGCTTTTCAGGTACTCATTTATTATACTTTATATGCACTATATTATAACACTTTTTATTTTATTTATTTTTTGCTTAGATGGGTGGACGAGCTGACAGTCCACCTGGTGTGGTTACTGGAGCCCATAGACATCTACAACTTAAATGCGCCACCCACCTTGAGATATGAGTTCTAAGGTCTCAGTAAGTTACAATGGCTGCCCCACCCTTCAAACCGAAACGCATTACTGCTTCACAGCTGAAATAGGCAGGGCCTGGCAGGGTGGTGGTACCTAACCATGCGGACTAATTACGCAAATTATAATTTTGCGGGTTTGATTTTTATTACACGATGTTATTCCTTCACCGTGGAAGTCAATCGTGAACATTTGTTGAGTACGTATTTCATTAGAAAAATGGTACCCGCCTGCGGGATTCGAACACTGTTGGATCGCTAAACGCGAATGCACCGGACATGTTATCCTCTAGGCCACGACGACTTCAAACACACAAAAATAACAGTCCCAAGTTTACAAAATAGGCATAATATTGTTTTTATTCCACGCTTCCAGGCCAAGCGGACGTTTGTAAGTATGAGATAAAACTTTTTTTTTTTATTACAATGAATGTCGCTGATTTAACGTCGCCTTTTTTCTCTTGTGATAAAAAATCTTCAACGTGTTTTTTATTGCGGCTTTTAAAATTCGATTAAAAAAATATTTTTAATGATAATAATAATAATACAACTGAGGTTTAATGCAAGTGAGTTTTCAATACGTGATATTAATAGGTTTAATAATTTAAATATATAAGAGCCCAGAACAAGTACACTCGGATTTCGAATTTCAAATAATCAAGATAATTAACCATAAATTGCTGCTGAGATAATATTTAGTGAAGTTAGCGTATACAAACGCCCTGACACACAAAAACAAAATGAATATACTTTATTCTAAATGAATAAACGTTCGAAAAATATGTTCTTGTAGGGCATAGCCACGGATCTGGTTGTTCAAGTGGTACTCATAGCCGAGTCAATGCGTCTGCAAGCCATGATGGGTACGTACGGTATACAGACTCAGACACCGCATGAAGTCGAACCGGTTCAGGTTAGTATTGCAAAACTTCAGTCAACAATTTTTTTTAATTGCTTAAATGCAGAGGCGGATTATCCGTAAGGCACGTGCCTAGGGGCGTATAGTTACAGGGGCGCGCGAGCTCAGAATTTTTAAATAAATAAAGAAAATAACATATCGACGATTAAGAACTAAATGCTGATCTATAATCTAAATCTATAATAGATTATATTGCACAAGCATCGATATACTCGTATTATGCAATATGGCGGGTTTGTTCGTATTTCATTCGCGCATTAGCGTAAGTACAAGGGTCCTGGTCTACTAAAGTCTAGGGTTTGATTATACAAAGTCATCGTAATTGCAAAAACAACTAGTTAAAATTTATAGTATTATGATGGCCATTTATGGCCGGTACAGGGGCGCCGATAAAGTGATTGCCTAGGGCGCGCTGGACCTTTAATCCGCCGCAATTAAATGGGTAGACGCGCTCACGGCCCACCTTGTTAAGTGGTTACCGAGGCCCATAGACATCTACACCGTAAATACCTTGAGATATAAGTTCTAACGTTTTAGTTTTTATTCGGGATTCGCTATCATTAGATACGAATGCACCGGACGTCTTATTCTTTAGGCCACGATGACTTTAAATGCATGTATATGTGTAGTATAGCATTCCTGACGATGACATTACTTTTATTCAGCCCTAAGAGGTAGAGGAGACGTTTGAAGGTGAATATTTATGTTATTCGGTCGGGAAACATTGGATTAGTTAGTAGTAGGGCTACCAGAATTATGTTAAACGCTCCTTCCCGAAACATTGAAAAATTATTTTAATAAAAGCGTCAATCAAATCAATAATGCTAAAACATTTCATAAATGATTCTGTTTGTAAAATGATATTCATTCTTTTCACAGATTTGTAGCTCCACTCAATTAGTTCACGTGTATAGGGAGTTAGGTGTTTGCAAAAAATTGAAGCTGACTGGACGTCCCATTCGACCCATAGGCTCATTGGGTACCAGCAAGGTAATTTAGTGTCAATCTAAACCATTGCTCCTCAATCTGCACGTTTACGAAAGTTCATCAATACGATCTATGTAGCGTCAATAATTCGCATGTGTTGTCATAAAATGTAAAAATACGATAAACTAACCATCCCTTGTCTATGTTTAACTTAATAACAAAACATAAAAGTAGTGAAGGTGGTACATTTTTTTTAATGAATGATACTGAAAAATTTGGGAAACGATGATATAATTTTGTAAACTAAAAAACCTTGTTTTTTTTTATTGCTCAGTTGGGTGGACGAGCTCACAGCCCACCTGGTGTTAAGTGGTTACTGGACCCCATAGACATATACAACGTAAATGCGCCAACCACCTTGAGATATAAGTTCTAAGGTCTCAGTATACGAGGGCTGCACTAAAAGTATCGGGAATGGAATATTTCCACTGTTCCTGTCATATTAAAATCTTTTTGATTGAAAACTCCTTGGTTTTAAAAATCGAATACCATTTATTTATTTAAAAAAAGATTCTCGGTCTTGTCACGAGGTTTTGTCAAACTTGTTTAGTCGTTGAGAAAATGGAATTGACTCGAGAAAATTCAAGAGCGATGATTTATTATGACTTTCGAAGTAGTTTAACACAAAAACAGTGTGTTGGCCGGATGATTTCTGCATTTGGTGATGAAGCCCCATCCAAAACCACAATTTATCGCTGGTTTGCTGAGTTTCAACGTGGACGTGTCAAGCTCAGTGATGATCCCCGTCAAGGTCGTCCAAAAACTGCAGTCACCCAAGAAAACGTTGATGCTGTGCGTAAGCTGATTGAGGAAGATTGACATGTGACATACCGCGAAATTCAGGCAACTTTAGACATTGGCATGAGTCAAATACAAATAATCTTGCATGAACAATTAGGTGTAAAAAAGTTGTTTTCCCGATGGATACCGCATTCGCTCTGTGAAGAGCAAAAAGCGGCTCGCGTTACTTGGTGCGTCAGAACTCTCGAAAGATTCCACGCAGGATCCTCAAATGCTGTATACAACATTGTATCAGGTGACGAATCCTGGATATACGCGTACGAACCCGAAACAAAAAACCAGTCACGAGTTTGGGTGTTCGAAAATGAGTTAAAGCCAACAAAAATTGTTCGTTCACGGAGTGTTGCAAAAAAAATGGTGGCCACGTTTGTCTCCAAAACCGGCCATGTTACGACTATTCCTCTTGAGGGACAAAGAACGGTTAATGCAGAATGGTATGCTAGCATTTGTTTGCCACAGGTCGTTTCTGAACTCCGTAAAGAGAACTGCAACCGCCGCATCATCCTCCATCACGACAATGCGAGTTCTCACACCGCGCACAGAACAAAAGAGTTTTTAGAGCAAGAAAACATAGAATTATTAGACCATCCGCCGTACAGCCCCGATCTAAGCCCTAATGATTTCTATACTTTCCCTAAAATAAAGAATAAATTGCGTGGACAGAGATTTTCAACACCTGAAGAAGCTGTGGACGCCTACAAAACGGCCATTTTGGAGACCCCAACTTCCGAATGGAATGGTTGCTTCAATGATTGGTTCCATCGTATGGAAAAATGTGTCAAATTTCGCGGAGAATACTTCAAAAAGCAATAAATACATTTTTAAATAGTAATGTTGTGTCACTTCGTTAATTCCCGAAATTTTCAGTGCCGCCTAGGTAGTTACAACGGCGGCCCCACCCTTCAAACCGAAACGCATTACTGCTTCACGGCAAAAATAGACAGGGTGGTGGTACCTACCCGCGCGGACTTACAAGAGGTCCTACCACCAGTAAATCTGACAATTACAAAAAACGAATTTAAAACTTCAAAATAGTTCGTTAATGAAATAATTAACTATCTTGTTTGTTGCATTTCCAGATATACAGAGTATGCGGTATGACCGTTTTGTGCTACCCGCTCATTTTCGAAGTTTCCGAGTTTTATCTGTACAGAGACATGGCTTTGCTTATTGATGATATAAAAACTGAACTACAATTCGTTGGGAAGTAAGTCTTCCTTCAGTTGTTATATCTATTATAGCATTAAGTTACCATGTCAGTGATCGAGCTTTTCAAAATCGAGACAGCAAATTATTGGGAGGGGGTGGAGCACTGGGGAATATGCATATAATAGTATATTTATGTTTTGCTTAGCACGTGACTAGCAACCGCAAGAATGATTATCGTTTAAAAACTTCTGAAATTTACTAGATCATAGAACAGAATTCGCTTAAATAAACATCACCTGCAAAATTCAAGGTACAAGTTACCTAACAGTGATGACAAACAGGCGCATGTCTCAATGCAGCAAAATTTTTTTTTTATTGCCTTACCCATTAAAGATCAAGTTGCATATAAGTATCTACATATAATTTTTTATTACTATTAATACAGCAACCAGGTACATGCAAATAATATTTTATGAATTTAAATGTAACCGCTGCCATTTAAGCCTATATATAAATAGTTTTTGTTGGCGAATGAGCTCACGGATCAGCTGAGTTGTTATTGAAACCAATAAACATCACAACCTAAACATTAACCCATGCATCAACTCGCTGAGCTTCTCGCCGGAACTTCTCAGCGGGTCCCGATTCCGATCCGGTAGTAGCTTCATTCGCGAAGCAGCTGCTCTTGAGTTGTTAGGTCTCCTTCGGAGGCGCTCGGGCAGCTGTTAGCTAATCCCACCCCTCCAGGCTGAGCCTTTGTTCGCCTACCTGTCCTGGTGAAACTGCAAAGGCCTCCGGGCCAACAGAAAAGAAAAAACAACCTAAATGCTGTAGTGACAATTGTATTTGACATTGCACTTCGCGGCAGCCGGTAGTCTGGCGCCGACTTGGCACCCGCCCGGCGGTCATCGTTCTCGTCAAACCCGTCGCTCGACGAGTAAATTAACCCTCAGACACAGCCCACTGAGTTTCTCGCCGGATCTTCTCAGTGGGTCGCGTTTCCGATCCGGCGGTAAATTCTGCGAAGCACGGCTCTTACTAGGGTTCGTGTTAGCAACGTCGTCTGGTTTGAACCCCGTAAGCTCACCTACTAGTTAAGGTTACGCTGAAATAGCCTCTCAAGGCTTACAGCTTAGGTAGGAACAAAATAAAAAACACCCGCCCGGCGGTGCGATATGTGTCACATGCAGTTAAAATGCTTAAAGATATTGGCGTCTGTCCGGGCGGCCCACCGTGTGCCTGCTGGTTCGGGAAGAGCACATGCGCGACCCACACTTTAAACAGATGTTGGACTTGTTCGCGATGCTGAAGAAGGGCTATTGCGACGGAGTCAAAGTGCGCCTAGGGCGATTACAAAATTTAATATCAAGTTCGTGCATGGGTAAGAACATTCACGAATTTTATATTCAATTAACTTGAAACCTACATATCGCGCCCTTAGAATTGAAGTGGCTTAACAAATTTTTTTCAGAAAATTAGTTTTTTTATTTGTACGACTTATAAACTTGTATACTAACAGATTACAAAATATATTTCTTTAAATTAAAAGTAAATTATAACTTTAGTCTAAAAAAGGGCAAAGTACACTTTCCATCACTTTTAAATCAAGCGCGTACTTTAAACTTTATAGCTACGCTTTAAAGCTTAAAATATTAAAGTCGAAACTGAAAAATTGCAACTCTTGAATTACACTTTTGGGGTTTACCAAAAAACAAGTATTTTGGATTAAGCCACTTCAATTATAAAGGTACGATATAAGTAATTAGTTGATCTTATTCTAATTCTATTCGGTAGGCAGCGGCTTGGCTCTGCCCCTGGCATTGCTGAAGTCCATGGGCGACGGTAACCACTCACCATCAGGTGGGCCGTATGCCCGTCTGCCTACAAAGGCAAAAAAAAAAAAAAAAAAAAAAAAAAAACCATATTAATTAAATTTTTCAGAACATTTAGACTTTATGAGCCAAGGGGATTTCCCGTCGGAAATGTTTACTCAGTTCAAACAGTTGGAACACGAGTACATAGGCTATCAGTCGCTGACAGACGTTCCACGCACTCTAACCTACCGTGAAGAAACAGTGTCCCTTGAAGCGTACAAACACAAGTCTACTCCTGATGTGGTGGAAGCCCTCAGAACTACTGACAATATATTCGCTCAGTGCCAGTTGTGGGGCATCTTACTCGATAGGGAAGGGCCCATGTATGAAGTAAGTCTCAGTTAGTGTTTTATTTAACTGACGTATTTAGCGCTTTAGATAGTTCATGAGTTCATAAAGTACATTAACAAAAAAAAGGAAAGATGCAGTACAAAGTGTTCCTCAAGTCGTGTCCATTGCAGACAAATTACACAGTTTACATACATTACAAAATACGCACAAAAGCATCTTATCGAATTATAGAATAGGGGCCAAGCTAAACAAGTATCTATGATCTGTTTGTAAAATTTAATTATTTGGTGGGAAAAAATATTATCGTAAGTAGGAATCAGCCGCACATCATTTATTTTCGTCCCACGCAAAACATAACAAGAACGTATTGGTTTGCCTGAACACCTTTTTTTTATTTTGTATTGCCCGTGCTGGCGTACGACCATACGGCCCACCTGATGTTGAGTGGTTACCGTCGCCCATGGACTTCAGCAATGCCAAGGGCAGAGCCAAGCCGCTGCCTACCGTTATGTCGTTAATCATTGATATGAAACACAGGATGTGAGGATGTTTCAGGTAAAAGAACGCGTCCTCAACCTTAGCGTGGACAATTTATAAGTGCCATTTAAGTTACTAACACATATGACTGATTAACACATAATATTACTGGTGGTAGGACCTCTTGTGAATCCGCACGGGTAGGTACCACCGTCCAGCCTATTTCTGCCGTGAAGCAGTAATGCGTTTCGGTTTGATGGGTGGGGCAGCCGTTGTAACGATTCTTGAGACCTTAGAACTTATATCTCAAGGTGGGTGGTGTATTTACGTTGTATATGTCTATGGGCTCCAGTAACCACTTAACACCAGGTGGGCTGTGAGCTCGTCCACCCATCTAAGTAATAAAAAAATAAAAATCTATTAGGTGAATGGTACAAACGCTTTGGCGGCGTTGAAGTCCCTGTACCACAGCGCGGGCGGGCTGCGACACTGGCGAGCCGTCCGCTACTGCTCCTCCCTACTGAGCCACACCGTCGATTCCATCAGCCCCTTTATCACTACAGTACTAGTTAACGGGAAACAGGTGACTATTTAGTTACTACATTACGTTTTAAAGGTAGGACAGCTATTGTACAATTCGCCCAATCCATTTATCGGTGCTTTTGGGTACCGCAACCACTGATCACCGTTCTCGTCCAACCCGTCGAACGCCCGTCGATGAAGGGTTCGGCGAGTAAATTAACCCACAGACACAGCCCACTGAGTTTCTTGCCGAATCTTCTCAATGGGTCACGCTTCCAATCCGGTGGTAGATTCTGCGAAGCACTACTCTTGCTAGGGTTAGTGTTAGCAACGTCCTCAGGTTAGAACCCTTTTAGCTCATCTACTCGCCGGGTAGGCGAATAGGTAGGAAAAAAGTGCATTTGATTGCATCAGCCTCGTGTCTCGAGGTCGGTGGTCGTATTCACGTTGTGATACCTGTAGGCTCTGGTAACAAATCAATAGTAAGGGTTAAAAAGTCGTCGTGGCCTAAAGGATAAGACGTCCGGTGCATTCGTGTGTAGCGATGCACCGGTGTTCGAATCCCGCAGGCGGGTACCAATTTTTCTAATGAAATACGTACTCAACAAATGTTCACGATTGACTTCCACGGTGAAGGAATAACATCGTGTAATAAAAATCAAACCCGCAAAATTATAATTTGCGTAATCACTGGTGGTAGGACCTCTTGGGAGTCCGCACGGGTAGGTACCACCACCCCGCCTATTTCCGCCGTGAAGCAGTAATGCGTTTCGGTTCGAAGGGTGGGGTAGCCGTTGTCACTATACTGAGACCTTAGAACTTATATCTCAAGGTGGGTGGCGCATTTACGTTGTAGATGTCTATGGGCTCCAGTAACCACTTAACACCAGGTGGGCTGTGAGCTCGTCCACAGATCTAAGCAATAAAAAAAAAAATTAAAAAAAAAAAACTTATCGACTCATTTCAGCAAACGTAAAATGAGCCTCCGCTAGTCATAACTTCTTTTTTAAAGTGAAACTTCTTTAGAATCGTTGTGATTTCAAACTCGATGAAACGAAAAAATAAGTCCATAGAGACACAAACACATAAATGTATAGGATTCAGCCGGCGAGAGAATGAGATAGAACGCATTAGACGTTCTCGGTCTCCTCTTTGTGGGACTCTTCGAAGCCTCCCCACTATCGTCTACTAAACATTGTCCATATGTATGCTCCTGTGTAGTGGGATAGTCAGTATATCTATATCTTATTTATAAGTTTCACTTCTATCGTATGTGAGTTGCACACACTCACACACACTTTTTTTTTAACGCTGGGGAATATCCGACCTCTATCACTCAAATTCCACGAAACCCACGGTACCGCATAGTGTGCGCCGAAAGTCCGCCTTCGCCGCTTCCCATAACCTAGAAAATCCTATTTTGGGGCTGTTAAATTGTTAAAATGTTTAAAAAGACGATTTTTACGTAATATATTATTATATTACGAGTAATTCACATGAGGTAGAAGTTAAATCTTCAGAAGTATTCTATCTCATTCTCTCACTGGCTAACTCCTGCAGATGTGTATGCGTGGCCCTTTTACATTGCACCAAGTTACACTGTGCCAAAGACGTTTTTATTTTAATAAATAAACGTTCCACTTTCAACGTGTACCGAAAACACGCAGCATGTCGACAGATACACCTAGATCTTTAATTATAGAAATCTTTAACGTGTGTGCCTCTGGCAATCGAAACCTGACCCCGTAGTACACTGTAGTCACGATCAAGATTTTAGTTAATTAATTTTATAACCATTTTCAGTTGACCGTAGGAGTGATAGGACAGAAAGAAACAGTTTTCGACAAACCAATGACTCCGGGAGAGATACAATCCGTAATGTATTCTACCATACAGCCGTATGACATCATAGGCGCAGTATTGCAACAGGTAATCTTTTCTCTGACTTACTGAGCGTTATTACTATTAGCCCAATTATCGAAATTCGAACAAAATCATTGATACATACATTTTATGAATTTTTATTAACGTTAAAAAAGAAAATGGCCAAATAAAATGTTTTGAACACTAAAGCTTATCCACAGATTCGGTAGAATCTGGCGCCAAGTTCCGTTAAAAAATCCCGTTGTAAACGGAGCGCCAGACTACCGACTGTGTTTACTGTAAGCAGAACGGTTTTTTGAGGTTGCGAAATTTTATTTTCAATAGTTAATGCAAAAAATATATTAATAAACATAGGAGTAAAAGGTAGTTGTAACCTGGTTTGTCATTAAAAATACATATTGTAATTTTTATTTAATTCTTAACACTAAGGCTTGCCAATAGCTACTAAAGAAAAATAAATTTGGTACTTAATTGTTTTATATTAGCCTATTGATACATAGACTTTTGTTTTGACTGTACAATCGTGACATTGACAACGTTGCAGGAAATAGTGTTGTACTGCGGGCGGCTGATCGGCACGAATCCGGATATCTTTCGTGGCATTCTGAAGATCCGCGTGGGCTGGGTGCTGGAGGCCATCCGGTACTACCTGCAGCTGTTCCCGGGCGAGGCGCGGGCCGCGTGCGTCGAGAGCCTGTCCCCCTACCGCCTGCGCACGCTGCTGCAGCGCGTGCTCACCGTGTCCGACTGGGCCGACGAGCGAGGGTACTCGTCTGTTACTAATCAGCTGACCCGACTGACACACAGAGCATAATAGCTTTGTGACCTGTGTGCTTAGTGCGAGTTTTTTAACGTTCTCGATAGCGTAAAAGTTAGCTCATATTTGTATGGAATGGGATCGTTTGCGTACGTTTGCCGCTAGGGGTGCGGTTCCAACTGCATACAAAAATGGCTTCACTTTTAAGCTATCGAGAACGTTAAGAAACTCGCACTAAGCACACTGTACGGCAGGCAACTTTCCAGTGTCCAAACCTTCGATCAATAATAAATAGTACTATTATTGATCGAAGGTCCAAACTCTTAAAAAAAGTTTTATTGATCTGAAGTGACGCGTTTACAGAACTTAATTAGTATTTATAACGATGACATATCGCACGTACGGTGCTATAAAGTCACTTATGCAATTTTTGTTAACACTGACCTGAGTTTGAGAAAATACATTTTTTAATAGTTATTAGTGAGACGAACGAGATGTTTGCTTTTACTGATGAAGTTTAAAGGTGTGGTTTATATATTCTCATTTTATTTCTATAGCGTAGCAGAACTATACAAGATGTTGAAATTTCCATCGTTTCTCCTGAAAAATTACATAATTTGTATAAGTGACGTTACTGAACCGTATGTGCGATATATTGATCTGACTAAAAAGAAGCTCGATAACCGCCTAATGTCAACCGTGTACCGAACTTCATGCAACTAGGTGTTGTGGTAGGACCTCTTGTGAGTCCGCACGGGTGGGTACCACCGCCCCGTCTATTTCTGCCGTCAAGCAGTTATGCGTTTCGGTTTGAAGGGGGGAGCAGCCGTTGTGACTATACTGAGACCTTAGAACTATATCTCAAGGTGTGTGGCGCATGTTCGTTGTAGATGTCTATGGGCTCCAGTAACCACTTAACACCAGGTGGGCTGTGAGCTCGTCCACATATCTAAGCAAAAAAAAAAAGAACAAGAAAACAGAGATCGTACATGCTTAGACACGAGTTGGAACTTTATTTAAATTAATCTGCAAACAGACTTTACCGGATTTCCATAAAGCTACTAACGTAAAGTTATTCTCAGGTGCCATAGAGGTTAGGGGCAAGCCATTACAAAGATTTTTAGGCAAACCCTTTTCAGACAAGCTAATGACCATCTTAAATAATTGTGTTACCAGATTAACACCACTACAGCGACGTCAACTGGAAGGCTGCCTCTGTCGAGTTCCTAAACATTTCTACATACAAGTGTGGGATATTTTGCTGCGGACACCTAAAGGAATTATTATTCAGGTAATTGTTGTGTACAGGCAAGGTTTGGTCAGATACAGAAACTGAGATCTCTAACCATTTCCGCCGCATTTTGCAAAATCTTTGGTAGTAGCGTATATTGAATACAGTGAACTAATTCACACCCCATTCAGTGCTAAATTATTGCTCGAGCCCATAGACACGCCGCCACTTACCTTGAGACACGGGGTGGGCTTCAATTCGACACGTTATCCAGTTTCACTTGCAATAAATAATTGAAAAGTGAAAAACTTTATTTAATTTTATGTTTCTTTCATTAATCGCAGGGCCAGTGTATCCCAGCCGAGCCGACGCTAGTGAACATGTCCCGATCAGAACTGTCGTTTGCTCTGGTAGTGGAAAGCGCCCTCGTAGGAGTGGGAGGGGCGGCGCGGCGGCAGCTGTGCGTGGAGTTGCTGTGCGTGCTCGCCACCATCCTGCGCCGCAACCCCGAGCTGCGCCTGCAGCACTCGCTGGACCTCGACGCGCTGCTGGACGACGCGCACGCCACCTACCGCAAAGACTGCGGGTCCGACGCCGAGCCCGGGCTCAGCACCGCCACGGCCGCGCTCGCCGCCGGACACCTGGCACGCGCCGTCGTCAACGCCGTGCTGCGCGGCGCCGCCGCTGACCTCGTGCCCGCCGACCGACCCGCCTGTCTCGTCGCCTGAACCAATCTGTGTGCTTAGTGCGAGTTTTTTAACGTTCTCGATAGCGTAAAAGTTAGCTCATATTTGTATGGAATGGGATCGTTTGCGTACGTTTGCCGCTAGGGGCGCTGTTCCAACTGCATACAAAATTGGCTTAACTTTTACGCTATCGAGAACGTTAAGAAACTCGCACTAAGCACACTGGTTCCGTTCGGACAGACTATCGACACACTGCAATTTTAGTACAAGTTCAGGTGTACACAAATGTGTGATATTCAAACGTAAACGCTCACTACTCACTCATACCGTTTGGTATTTGTGTTAGTGTAAAACTGCAGAGAATGTCTCTCAGTGTCAGCCTCTTTCAGACAAGGTGGTACTATATAACGGCATAAGTTGCCATCATCTAAGCCATCGTCGCACATTTCGTGGATAAAACTGACGCAATACAGATAGTTCCTATGTTTTATTATGTACAATATTTTATACAATAAAAATTTGGTATTTGTGTTTATACAAGAACACCAATATGAAATTGAAATATTTCAAAGGATTCTAATTTTTTTATTGGAATTGATTTTGTATTTAAATTGTTTAAAATAACTTCACTAGCAAAAAATGTGTCATTATTGTGTGAAAGAGTTCTTGAGCCGTCTGGTGGTTATCGTACTGCATTGATATCACTACGTGAATGCATGCCGCCACCCACTTGAGACACGCCGAAACCTTGTGTATTGAAAAATAGCTGTTCCACTCCAAAATGAATTCCATCACTGCTTCGCGGCAGAAATAGGCAGGACGAGTGTATGCTACGTTCATATATACATATACTACGATTCAACCTTAGTTGCACTATCCAATGCACAGGACTAAGTATATACTATATTAAATATAATATCAACAATATCAGTAATATCAACTGATTGAGTTACGTTTGTAAACTACCCACAAGCACGCCTTCCTGTCGAAGAATCAGGCAATAGTCAGATTTATTTGTTGTCAGATTATTTTACGATAATTGACTTTTATTTTATTTTTGTTAATTGTACTTTAGCGTTAATTCGTAAAAAAATCCCTGTTGAAAGAAAACTATATTCCACATGGACTTGCCAAAAAAAATGTATGTAAAGTCTTTAAGTTCATTAAAAAGGAGAGTGAAGATGACACAGATTCCTTTAAATCTAGTCCAAAAAAGACGAGGGCGTCTAAGGACTGCAATGGCAAATTGGTCTCACATACTAGCAGGGCGCCCTCAATCAACCTCTAAGCCGACTATTAAACTTAAAATCGAAATACTAATATTATTTTACTATAAGAAGAAATGAGATAGTAAACATATTGGATTTTTTTTTAAATACTTTTATAACGCTTTTCCAACACAAATTCGTTTTGGGGAATCACAGTGCATAGTAAATGAGACCCTCTACAAATGGAATGAATAATAACGCTCCGCAATTTTATAGTTTTATTGAGTAGAAAATAACCCAGTATTTGCAATATTGTATTTTTTCATATTTACTTTTAGCCAAATAGACAACTAATAAATTTCAATCATTAAAGATCGCTTTATGTACGCATCTCATATCGTGCGCGATTCGTCATAGCGTCAACAAATACCATATATATTTTGAAATAAGTCTGATGACTGAATATACTTATCAACGGAGAATACGTGACGTATATAGGTACAATAATTGATAAATTTACATTTAAGCAGTCCATAAACAAACTCGCGTGGGACACGACCTGGCCGTGTGTTACAAATTGGATTTTATCTCTCCTTTTCGTTTTTACGTTACACTGTGATTGCACGTAAATTGAGAATTACATTGTACAATTATGATTACACAATTTACACATTGTGACACATTGTTGGAACTGATTTGTCAGCTTCTAATTAATCAATTTCATAAATTATTTGTAATTAGAGAAATATGTTTTATACCCATCAAGTTTTTAAAACGAATCTGCAACGAGACACCATACTTTTAAGTTGCCAATGTATTTTTAGTATGTTAAGTTTCTTTTTTGATGTAAATATTGTTTTGTAGTGTTGTTAAAAACATTTTTTCAAGTTGAACTTCATTAACAAAATATAATTTACTCAAGTCTTCAACAATATTCAAAAAAATAAATAATAATAACAAATCAAAATGGTATTTTTATTTTTTATAAAACCATCACATGCACGTCTTCATTCAGGTAACAAAAATTCTTATGAAACCACACTCAGTCCAGCTATAATTACTAGTTTACTATCACTATAGTCCATTGTATATTTTATTATTTGGTGGCTGGTTCAGTATTTTTCGCAAAGCTGAAATAAAGAGTTATAGAAGTTAAAAAAAGTTTAAAAATACAAGATATAAATAATTATTGAGAATTGGTCAACAGACAATATTAGTTAATTTTTCTTTTATTTTACTATTCGGGAGATTATTTGTACTGGGAATAAAGCCATTGTGAAACGTATAAAATTTAACAAAAGCCAATAACACTCAATAAATAAAATAATAACTAAGAAATGGGATTAATGTTACTCCTTTATAACATAAATAATATAAAACACAAACTAACCCTCTTTCTCAGCATCTGTGAAGTCTTGCTTGGGAAATTCTATATCAAAAGTTACATAAAGATTTCCATGGAGGTTGTTATTTTCAAAATTTGGCATGCCTTCTCCCTTCTTACGAACTCTTGCACCAGCCCATGTTACCTTGTCTCTAGACACTGACACTTTATGACCATCTAAATGTTCAAGTTCAAGAGTAAAACCAGTCAGAGCATCCTGAAAGTAAATAAATGGTTATTATTTTTAACAAATTATTTCTGGTAGGCAGCGGCTTGGTTCTGCCCCTAGCATTACTGACATCAATGGGCGACACTAACCTCTCACCATCAGGTGGTACGTATGCCTACAAGGGCAATAAAAAAACAAATTAATTTCTAAAAGCTTAAAATATTTAAGTTATCTACTATATCTACTACTATACTAGTTATAACTATCTTATATGTAGATATTTATATTTTAATTACATTCAAACAAAAATATTAATTTGTCTACCTGTAGTGAAATTGTCACATTGGTGTATAAGTCATCAGCTTTGCGAGTAAATTGTGGGTGTCTTTCCGTTTTGAGTATTACAATGAGATCACCTGGTTCACCATCTACATGGGGTTCACCTTCTCCACGCAACCTAGATTTGTGTCCATCCGGAGCACCAACTTCTACCTGTAAATATTATATTTTTAATTCACTTAAAAAATGTTGTTCATTTGAAAGTTTTTACTGTAATTAACATTTCTGTAGCATTTTCCTTTCACAATTTCTTACAATATCTTCGAAGTCATACCTCAATTTCTAGTAGCCTTTCTTCATTAACAAATTTTACATTAGGACATTCATCACACACTGTTTGCTGCATCATCTGGAATCTTCCTGGACCCAAGTTTCTTGTTACCATCTCTTGTCTACAGTTACACTTGCGGGTCCCTGGAGCTGGTTTGATTACGGGTTTATTCCTAGTTATCTGTTAAAAATTAAATGGGTGACATGCAGTTTTTATCAGATTTCTCTTTATTGCTTTATTGGAAAAATAAACCTATAAAATCTGTAAACTATAACATTTAAACTGTAATAATTGTTAATAACTTCTCTGGAAAATTATTTTATGGTCTATTTTAATTCTTATAACGTTCATAGATTTATATATTGAAAAAAGTATAATATTAGTCACCTCTATAAAATTTCCATTGTAAAGTTCTTCAAGTGAAACTGTGAGCTCCATAACAATGTCCGCCCCTCGTGGTGTTTCGTGATGTTGCGGTTCACCACCAAAATGGAATCCAAAATCACCAAAGAAGCTTGCAAAAGGGTCATTATTGTTCATCATTCCATCTTTCTTCAAACAATCTTCGCCGCAACGATCGTACAGTTCGCGTTTTTCGGGGTCTGATAATGCCTCATAAGCCGCCCCTAAATCTTGAAACTTTTGAGCAGCATCGGGATCATCTTGATTTTTATCAGGATGCAATGCTTTTGCTAATTTTCTGTAAGCCTTTTTAATTTCATTTGTATTCGCGGACCGAGATACACCAAGTATCTGGTAGAAATCACGACCAGCGAGGGTGATGACTAGAGCTGACAATAAATAAATTAAACACACATTAATTGCGTTAACTAGCATTTTGTCTTTACACTTACAAAAACATTTAAAATCTACAATAAAATACGAATAGTCAAATTTCAGTAACGTAGTCGTTTTCAACACATTTCCGTCTTTTCTGACAGAACCAACTAAATTTTGACAAATCGGAGTTGAAAGACAATTCGTCCTCCTCCTATTGGTCAGCCAATACTCAGTTTAACAACAAGAGAAAAAGAGTTTAAAAGGCAAATTCTATTATAAATTTTATTTCACGCCCATAAGTTCTAGTATGAATCAAATTAAGAACAGTTTAAAGGCTGGGAGGCATTATTTGAAAAGTTTAGAAAAAATCGATTTCAATTCGCAAAATTTTCTAATTATATTTTGTGATTCAGTTTAAGAGGAATACTGAGAAGTTTTTATAGCAAGTGTATAATTGTTGGACGGTTAAATTTGAAGGGACTGGGTTCTGTAGGTGAGGGGTTATTTAAAAAACTCTCTTCTTCATGATTAATATAATTATATTGCAAATACTTTGTACATGTACAAATATTACACCATTATATTATTTTATTTTTATAAAACTCTTAGATGTTGGTCTGACCGTGTCTAGATAAGAAGTCATTGTCTTCACTGATGAGAAGACAATTATTTGTTTTAAACATTTAAAATAATTCCAATATTCGAAATCCGTAACCTTACATATTGTGTAAGTGCTGCCTGCCGTTATGTTCATATTCAAACTCCAACAATAATTTACACAAATCTAGTAACTACATTTCGACTACGTTAAACAATTCACAAAATCTATCTGTAAACAAAAAGAAAAACACCTTTTTGTTTTAACCTATCTAGCTAGCTAGCTTGAAGAGTTATTCCAGCTTCGTACGGATGGGTAGGTGAGCTTACCTTAGGTTCAACCTAAGAAATTTTGCCAACCAGCCCTAGCAAGAATAATGCTTCGCAGAATTTATCATCGGAGCGAAATGGCGACTTATTGAAAAAATCCGGCGAGAAACTAATTGGACTGTTTCTATGGGTAGGTTTGCTCCTCGAATTCTTCGTTGTAATCGCTGAATTCGAAGGGGACTGATTCAATCAATTAAAGACATCAATGAGACAAAATAATAATAAAAACGGATAATTTGGGAAATCTTTCACTTAATTTAATTACTTTAATTACTCTTAAAAGAAATTAAAGTTTCATTTATTTACATGATCATGATCAGATAAAGTTGCGTGAACTATAACAGTCAATAAAATATATAGTGGACATATCGAAATTAGACCTGTGTCGGTCAATCGTTTTCCATGACCCGGGTCGATCGTGACCCATTCGTATAGTGATCGGGTCATAAAGATTCGATCATTTCAATCATTTCGGTCATCGTATGTATCTATTTCGTATAGTTTCGTCTAGTTCGTATGTATCTATTTAATATAAAAATGACCGAAGGATTGCGCGATCGATCTCGTTCTCACGTTAAAACGAGAATAAGGACTATGCGTAAGACTCCAAAAAGGACAGTTTTTATTTTTTTCGTAATTTGTATTGCAATAAAAAAGTAACTATACGATTATTATTTTTAAGATTTATTATCGTCACTTAAAATATTTTAGTAAAAGTACTAACATACACAAACAACATACTAGGTACCGGGAATATACCGAAACGCTATCGCAAGTCAGTAGTCAGAGTCACCGATGCAATGATTAATTCATTCATTCTCAAAATTAAAATACACTCCCGCGATTGACAAGTCGCGTGCGACCCGAAAGATCCCGCGCAATCCGGTTTATTTTGGATACAATCATGCAACGCACAACAAACGACAAGATAGAAAGAGTGCACTGCGTGAACAGGATTGTATGTATGTACTTAAACGAAAGAGATAGAAGATATTTTAATAGCTACGTCATTTCGTGATTGAATGCAAGAAATAATCGATTAATTAAGCAACAAGCTACGGTAATTTTTCACGAATAAAGTCCAATTTCGTTTGTGATGTCACCTGGTGATCGAATCTCTGGAAGAACGAATCTTTCAAGCACCGACGACCCGTTCACACGCGTATGGGTCGAGATCGGGTCAAAAAGATTCTGTCAATCGCGATCGACACAGGACTAATCGAAATCTATTTAATGAACTGTTAGTATTACAGTGTATAATTAAATATACTATGCTACTTACCACCTTAAACAACTGTTAGATTTTCGTATTCTTTTTCTTAAATATTTCGTTATAATCACCATTGTCAAATTAAATTCTTGTGTGCATTGGCATTAAGGTTTCGGAGTTGTTGGTCATCAAGAAAAAAACATTGCAAACTTGAAAATCATTGTACATGTTCGCTCTGTCAATTTACTGTTTTAATTTAATATTTAGGTTTGCGTGGAATAACGTTTAAAAGCGTACGATTTAAATTAAAATTTCAATAAAATTTGTCAAATCACGAAATGGCATCTGCATTAGTGCCCGAAATTCCAGTTCCAGGATTCTCGTTTGAGAATTTTCAACGGTAAGTCCTATATGTACGGGCAACAAATACCATCCTACCTCAATATTTTGGATAAAAATATTACCTTTTCTGTTTCAGTAATGCTTTTCTTGCTCAGAAAGGGTTTCCTGCACCCAAAGCCACCAAGACCGGTACTACAATTGTTGGTATAATATACGCAGACGGCGTTATTCTAGGAGCTGACACAAGAGCCACTGAAAATACAGTTGTCTCGGACAAAAACTGCCAAAAAATCCACTACTTAGCATCCAACATGTATTGTTGTGGAGCAGGAACAGCAGCTGACACTGAAATGACAACACAATCTGTTGCTTCACAATTGGAGTTGCAGCGCTTACATACTGGACGTACTGTACCAGTAGAAACTGCTGCCACACTGCTGAAACGAATGCTGTTTCGCTATCAAGGTCATATAGGGGCGGCTCTGGTTTTGGGAGGTGTTGATAGAACCGGTCCTCATATTTACTGCATTTATCCTCATGGATCTGTAGATAAATTACCATACGCAACCATGGGTAAATATTGTTAGTGTGTACCTAATTATGTACTATATTAAATTGATAATCATTGGTCATATTCCTCATTTCATCTATTTTATTTTTAATTAGTAAATTTTGGTAATTTGTAGGATCTGGATCTCTTGCGGCTATGGCAGTGTTTGAAGCAGGTTGGAAACGTGATATGAATGAGGAAGAAGGAAAAAAGCTTGTCCGAGATGCTATTGCTGCTGGTATATTCAATGACTTGGGTTCAGGTTCTAACGTTGACCTGTGCGTTATTCGTAACACTGGTCCTGCCCAATATCTAAGAACTTATGAAGAAGCTAATGTGAAGGTAAAGAATTGAAATGTCTTTATGTTTTTTTTGTCTCACTTTTCTATAAATTTATCAATTCATTAAGAAACACTTTACAATAGTGATGTGAGAATATAATATTGTGCAGTTTTATTCTTGAACTATAATTTGATAATCTAAAATTTACATCATTTACCATTTATTTCAGGGGAAAAAGCAAGGTTCGTATAGATATGCTCTTGGTACAACTGCTGTGCTTAAGCAGCGTGTAATACCTCTCGAGGTAGAATCTATTTTGGTACGCCCAACAGAAGCCTTTCAGCCTATGGATGTGGAGCCTCAAACGAGTCGTTAAATGTTAACAATTAATTTTGAATAAAACATTACTATAAAAATTTATTTTCATTATGACCAACCTAAGTTATAGAATAACATTTTTTTAAATATATTAAGTATACTTGAAAATATCAACAGTAGCATAGCAGTCTTCATACATTCAATACTTTTAGGACGGAAAGATTCATTGTTATTATTCTACACTTATAATTATTTTTGAGTATTTAATGAGATTTACAATTATTATTTACAACATACATTTTATTGTGATTGTAATCTTATAAACTGACTATGGACATCTTATTTTATAAAAATTATATCTTTTTATGTAATATAAAGTCCCAGGTATCTTTCCACCTAAGACTCATTAGATCATTTTCCTTTAAATCAACATTTCCATAGTTCAGAACACTGAATTTTTTAAATGTAAGCACGATATATGACAGCCATATTGTTACACATAAAATAAATAAATTTGTAACGTGTCTAGTTTTCTCATGAAGCTGTAAAACTAAGTAAATATGATCCACAATATAAGCCAAAAGAAGAATCTTAAAAATATATGCAGGTAAATAATGATGAAGGAACAGAGTTCGATCTATAAAAAAGTAAGGTAGGTAATGTAACCAATAACCTAGAAATAATGTATAGCCAGTTTCATAAAACTTATTCAAAACAAATGGAGGCAAGTCTTCACATGCTCGACGTTTTCGAACGGAGTAAATAGCCAGGAGGGCACTGTAGACTATTACCGATATTGTCCCAGTATACCATGTTACAATGTTGCCTATCAGATGTATTTGAGCCTGAAAAATAAAAAAATTGTAAGTGAATAGAATTTGTTATGTTGGTATTTGAAACATAGAAAATCATTACAAGGAAATTCAAGATTAAAATAAAGTAAATGTACAAATAGTAGAAAATATTTAAAAGAATTTGTTTCATATCAAGGCAAATAGGCTATTCATACAAAATTATTTGTAAACGAGATGAAACTCATTTGACCTGTCTGGATATTTATCCAACAATAAAACACTTACATTAGAGTCAGGAGAGAGCCAATATGCAATTGAACGAACAAGCAGAGGCCATTCAGCTGGTTCGCTGGCAAACATGTGCCCGTGAGGGGCATCAGGTGCGTGTGCTATCATTTTATATTGTAATTCTGTAAATTTTTCCCAAAAAGTTAATTGGGTCACTGCAGTCGGTATCATTTCAGCCGTGACTAACTCGCGTTCCCGTTCTTTTCGATCATCGGCTGAAAAAAAACATAAATTATAATTGAGCTCCTTGGAAAAATATACAACAAATGAAGACGAATTGAAAAAAAACCTTTGGTATAGCGATGCTCTTCAACATTCCATATTGTATCTTGATGGGATAACACCTTGTCAGCAACAATCTCATGTTGATGGAAACCCCAAGCCGGAAGTTGGCGACCACTGTAACGCAAGCCCGACCCCGTGTCAACGTGAACAAGTCTCACTAACGAGCGTATGCTATCCCAGGTTGACTCTTCAGAATCACGATTCACAATATCCACACGCCAAAGATTCTGAGCTGGCATCGATACATTGTAGTCGATGTAGCAAGACACTTCCTGTTCCAAAAAATAGAATTTTCGAAATTCAATATTTCAACAAATAAAAATTTTGATATCGCTCGTAGTGTTTGGTGCTATTCACATTATGACGTCTATTGACTTCGGTAAATGCCGAGTCGCTGCAACGGCGGATCCAGGGGGGGGGTCATGAGGTCATGACCCCCCCCTGAGCTGGTTCCAGGACTTAGGTGAACCACTAATTGAACCTAATGATTTTATTTATATATTTTGTCACTATACAGATTTTATGTAACTACATACCTTAAATATTTCATTAATTTAATATAATATAATAACTTTGTATGATGGCAAGCGTTTGGGAACGAGCGCATCGAAAATTTGACTATGTGACCCCCTCCTGGCGCCAAAGCTGGATCCGCCCTTGAGTCGCTGTGGCCTAAAGGATAAGACGTCCGGTGCATTTGTGTTGAGCGATGCACCGGTGTCCGAATCCCAGGCGGGTACCAATTTTTCTAATGAAATAGGTACTTAACAAATGTTCAGGATTGACTTCCACGGTGAAGGAATAACATCGTGTAATAAAAATCAAACCCGCAAAAATATAATTTGCGTAATGACTGGTGGTAAGATTTCTTGTGAGTCTCTTGTGTTAGGTACCACCAACCTGCCTGTTTCTGCCAGGAAGCAGTAATGCGTTTTGGTTTGAAGGGTGGGGCAGTCGTTGCAACTATACTTGAGATCTTAGAACTTATATCTCAACATAGGTGGCGCATTTACGTTGTATATGTCTATGAGCTCCAGTAACCACTTAACACCAGGTGGGCTGTGAGCTCGTCCACATATTTAAGCAATAAAAAAAAAAAAAACGGCCCATTTCAGCGAATTAAACTCATACTTGAGATTGAGGCGAAACAGCTGCGGCCACATCGTGGGAATTCAAAGCGCGACTCGTTATTCCATGCAACAGTTGTACGATATCTCCGTGTCTTATAGCGTCTGGAGGTCGCGAAACGGCCAGCGACGCTTGGTCCGGCCGTTTTACAATCCACCAATTGTTGACATCTTTGAAGCTGTAACAAGTCACTTGCTGCTGGTGTGAGGAGCCACGTCCGTCCGCATAACGCACTGGATATACGTGCGCGTGTGAATGGAGCCAACAGGTCCTGCCGTGGGTGTGCCTGTAATAATACTACATTATCTCCAAACAATTAATAACAATTCAATCTCTATAGCAGGGATAAAGCTTTTTAGTAAATACCTGAGTGTTATTTGAGAGCCGTGAGCGACATGCAGTGGCTGTCCGTGTGTTATGCTCGCAAGGCCGCCCTGTAATGATGCTTGGAATGCACTCGTCATAACACTGTCATGCGGTCCAGCCTTTGGCAACATAGACAAATGCATGTAAAACACGCTCACATACACAGCCAGCGGGATGATCAATAAGACTGCAAACCGCCACAGGGCAGAAAATAATAAACGTGTTCCTGATTTTATTTGGTTTAGTTGCAACCATATGTGTCTTCCAACTAAGAATAATGATAAATAGTATGTGTACAGCCCAGAGTATTTCACCCTAAAATGATTTTTTACATGAATAGTGTGATTATTGCACATGCACTTATAAAATTTGACAACTGTTAGAAAACAAAAGAAGAAAAGAAGAAAAATAAAGTTATTAGTAAGTAATCAAAGTCAACTCACGAGAAGCAGCAACCAAGCAAAACAGCAGCAGCACATAGCCAAACAAGTGCTGTGAGTCCAATTCTCTTTGTACTTTTAATAATACAATACACACCGCACAAGCCAAATAGTATCTGAATGCTTTCCAGCAACATGAACCTTGACTGTGCTAAGAAACAATTTTCTGAAATATTTTAGAAAATAAAAACCACTTTTTAAAGTTCATTGTAAATATCGACAAGTCAAAGGTTATTTGCATTAAGCAACATTTTTGCAACTTTACAGGAGAGCCATTTGCAGATAAAAAAAAACTTCTTCAGCTATTTGAATGGGAGTCAACTTAATTGAAGTTCCTTTAAAAATATCGAACTATTAATGCTGATACTAAATAAAACGCACCTTTAATCACAAAGATAAATGTCGCTTAAACCAAATAGCCTTTCACCCCCTCAATATGGTTCCTAGCAGAGTTAAACATGGCTCCCAAGTGGGGTTGTTTCCGACCATTTCACTCACTTCTGCTTTTATTATTACATTTTTTTTAAAATAAATGTTAATGTGAAACAGTTAAGTATCAGTTTTGATAGGGCATTTTTTTTCCTACCTATGCTGAGAGCCTTGAGAGACCATTTCAGCGTAGCCCTAACAATTAGGTGAGCTCACGGGGCTCAAACCTGACGACGTTGCTAACACGAACCCTAGCAAGAGCCGTGCTCCGTAGAATCTATAACCGGATCGGAAACGCGACCCACTGAGAAGATCCGGCGAGAAATTCAGTGGGCTGTGCCTGTGGGTTAATTTACCGCTTGTGACGAAGGGTTCGACGAGAACGATGACCGGTGCTTGAGGTACCTAAGAGCACCGTTAGTGGATCGGGAGGATCCGAAATGACGTGTTTTGGGCGACGTCGACTGCTTTCCATTCTGTCCGCAGGATCGGGAATGTAGTTACCGGTGGCCACGATGAGAAGGTTCTCGTGTCGTGCCGCTTTGTCAAAGTACTAGGGCCTTTGCTATATTTTATTTAAACAAAAAATAAGTCATTGTCAGATATATTCATCAACCTTTAAATACAAAGTATGGACTCTCTTAGATAAAAGATTCTGTAATCTGTTTAGTAAAAAAAATTTAAGATTTCTATCAAACCATAATGCTATTTTGAGTTGGTTAATTCTAGTTTTCATGGCCTACTTTGATATGAAGTCGTTTTTGTAATGCCATTCATGCTTAAAAATTATGGTGTCACATACTCACCAAGGAGCACTAATAAAGCAGCAAGTATGGCAGTCCATTGATGTAAAGATAGTTCTAGCATCAAAAAATATGTAATTAAAACTAGAAAACTTCCTGACACAGCTGGAACTAGCCTGAGAGCCTTCACAGGAACATTGTCAGTATATGGAGTACCAATCCGGTCAAAAGTAAAGTTTCCATCATATCCAGCAATACTACCAGCTAGATATAACAACTGTTTGCCAAGTGGTGGATGAGCATCAAAAAAAAAGACACCCTTAGTATATAATGAAACATATCTTCCATAATGTAATTCATCAAATCTGAAACATGAAACTCGTAATTATTTTAATACCTAAATTCATTACAATAAAGCTGAATTTGAAACAAATTAAACAAGCATAGTATTATTATGAAATAAAAATTATGATTTAGGGGCATGATGCAAGATAGTTAAAATGTCAAGCTTTTATCTTCTCATACTAGCTATTAGGTAAAAGAGTTAAAACAGATGGCAGGTAAAAATTCAATCAATTTAAAACACAACACAAAAAGTATTACTCGTGAACTTTGATAATTACGTATATATTTTTCTTACACAATATGGCGAGGTTCATCTAGTTTATATAAACGAGTGCATAATGCCAATATTAGAAGTCCTATTGCGATTACATCAATCTCGAGCTGTAAATATATGCGTGAAGGAGAATGATTCATTTCGTTCATCAGCATTAATTCTGGTTTTTCGGTTTCATTTTCGGCTGGGGCACCATCACCCTTTAAAAGGAAGGATTAAGGATTCTTAACCAATTATGGTAGATTAGAAAGTGTTGATGAGATATTAAAAAAGGTGAAATGGAGAGAACATTTCACCTTCTTTAATTCCATCTAAGATGTAAATCTTTTATAAAACTTACTTAACTTACTGTTACTTCTCACTAAAGAACTATAAGCACTATTTTACTTTGGCTATTTATAAGCTTATAGTTTTAAGCATTATAACTTATATGTTAATAATTGGTAATAGTTAATAATTCAATTAATAACATTCCCAGTAAATTATTATATTACAATAACTAATCTTACCAGTAACTTACTAATAATTTATAAAAACGATTTCGATGGGTCATCATAATCTTATCAGCTGTATTTGATTATGATTTATGAAAAAGAAAAAGTACCTGCCATTTTAAAAAAAAAAATTGTATGAGAATTATTGTAATTTACTCAATGAAATTCTGAAACATTCATACATAAATGCTAAGAAAACTTCTGAGTAAATAATCCCGAAAACTTTATTTGTTATTAGTTGTACAATGACACAGTAATTTCATCCACATAAGTGAAGACATAAGTTTTCAATATATCGAGGGGTGAAAGGCATTTTGGTTTAAGCGACATTTCGCTAATATGTGATTAATCTTTGAAGGTAAATAAACGTCCATTTTATTTAGTTTTAGTATCGATAGTTAGATGTTTTTAATTGAACTTCAATTAAGTTTAGCCCATTCAAATAGCTGAAGAAGTTTTTTTTTGTTATGATTCTGTTATCAAATTTTCAAACTTCAAATGGCTCCTGTAAAGTTGAAAAAATGTCGCTTAAACCAAATAGCCTTTCATCCCTCGATATGATTCGAAACGTCGGAAATTAAATATTAATTACTAACGCGAGTCATTAATCACAACTAGGAAAAAAAGTTTATTACAATCTATATCTAATCAACGATTTGCATTTACTATTTAATTAAGTTTTGTAAATGAGCCAGGGATTAAATTAATAAATATACGAAGTTTGGTGAAGTTTCTAAGTTATAAATTACGAATTATTGTGTTTATCGTTTGTAAATATTAATTACGAAATTAAAACAAATTTACTTGCCACTTCTCGATGGGAATTACATGTTTTCTCCGAATAACTGTATTCCTGAGGTTCTGTGACCTCCTTACGAATCTTGTTTATTTTACGATTTTTAACACACCGTCCTGTGTCCATTATTTCTGTATTGAATTATAATTAACATTAGAATATTTAAGTACATAGAATGCGGTTCGTCAAATATATTCAAGTTAAAATTCGATTGATGAAAGTTAAATTTTTCATTTCAATGCAAGTGTTTTTAGTAGGTAAGTAAATAAGTACCTACTACCTACACTTAATTTGTCCAACTGTCAGGACGAAGGGAACTTAGACCATACAGGCATACACATACATCATACTATTTTTAAAAAAAAACGCTTTCAGCTGAGAACGAGCATGAAAGCATGAAACGTCATTAATTGGAATAGATTTTGTAACTAACTTGAATAAATTCTCACCATTTTACTGAAAGATTAAATAATATTATTTAATCTCAACACATTTAATTTCATAATATTTTCTTTTACGTTTTGGTCTTTTCATATTCTTAATATTTGATTTTTTCATTACCTTATTAACTCCATTTTATTAGAACTAACGCCCTGTCTACGGTATTTTTTTAAACATAAAAGGGTGGATGAGCTTTGACGTCGAAAGTGATACCGGAGAGCCCATAGACATTTGAAACATAAATGCCATCACCCACATTATGACATGAGTTCTACCAATGCGGGCTCACCTCGCCCTGATATAACCAAATGAAAACTTTTGCAGAATTTTTATGATACAATGTTATTCCTTCATCATAGAAATCATTCATGAATCGTAATAAGTATCAAGTATGTGTTTCGTTAGACTAATTGGTACCTTCCTTGAACGCTTGTCCAGTCGCATCGCTTGATACGAATGCACCGGGTGACACTTAGCCATGACGACGTCAAAACAAAGTAGGATCAGACTGTGCGACCTATGTTCCTTTTGATGATTTGCCTTTCTGTTGCAATATAGCTTATAATACATAAACATGATGGGGACTTTTTGGCGAGAACGTGAGGAGTGAATTGTGATTTGTTTTATTTTGTCTATTTTAGTGTTTATTCGGTTTAAATGTGTAATAACGGTAGTTTCTTGACTATTTTTTTTTTTTTTTTTTATGGCTCGAGTCTCTTCTTTTACGAATTAATCTGCCAATGTCAGGTAGATAGAATATCAATGATATAGATAGATATAGATTGTAGCAGATGAGATGAATAAGAACTGGAGAAAAATTTGTAAATATTTTTACAGTTTAATGTTATTGCGGGAAATAAAATAAGCTAATACATGTACAACTTTAGGATTAGGGAATGTTAAGAGATAGTTCATATTAACTGGGAACGGGATGTTAGTGTTAGTTAGTAAACAATATAGTGGTGGGCATTCAACATTAAGAGCGCATTCCAGAAATATATGATCTAAAGTACCGATAGATTTACCGCAACTACACATAGGAGAAAGTTTAATTTTTAGCTTAAATAAAAATTGTAGTGAGCAAAAGTGACCCAATCGAAGCTTGATAAGTACACTAGTTATTTGCTTGTTGAATTTTTTGAACTTATAAAACCAAGGTTTGATAAAGACACTAGGATTTATTTTAGAATATTGATATTTGTAGGTTTACCATTGCTTTTGCCAGTCTGATACGAGATTAAGTTTAATATTATGAATAAGATCACGACTTACATTCGCGTAATACTCACAATCACCACTATGTGTTGCTTCTTTAGCCATTTGATCCACAGTTTCATTCCCAAGAATTCCTGTATGTGAAGGGATCCAAACTATTTCAACTTTAATGTTGTTTTGATGACAGGTGAACAACAGGTTTTTGATTATACAAACTAGCGGATTTTCTAAACAATTCTTTATCGGATTCTTTGAAATGGCTTGAATAGCACTAGANTAAATTAAACGAAACAATACGAGAAATAGTTCTATATTACGACAACACGATACACTACAGATTATTAACAAATTAACGAGACACAAAACAAACGACTAACAAATATATGAAAATACAATAATGAGAGAAACGCGCGATCAGTACGAGGCTTTGTGGCGGACTGCCGGCGCAGCAGCCCGGCGTCACCTGCGATAACGCGCACGCATCACCTGGCAATGGTGATGCGTGCACGCGCCAATCAGGAGCCAATCAGGCGCATAACGCATTTCGTGTGACATGCTATACTCTCTAGTACGATTTTGGTCCCCATAATTTTCATACCCCGGGCCTATATATGTAAATCGATTCTTAAGGAGTAAACTCCAATAAAAGGTATAGTGTTATAGACAGAATGTACCACAGTGGGGATACTCACTTTCAGATGTAAAATGGTTTGTTGTGAATGAAACAGAAGGAAGAAAGGTTTTTTTTTTTAAATTGTTACCGAAATTAGTGATCATTTTTCGTTGCTTCATTTCTGAACGAAAAACATGGTAAAATATATTTCTTCGGTGAGTGGTCTTCATATTTTAACAGTTCCACCTTGTCTCGAAATTTCGTGTTCATGAGTGATGTTCATAGCGCATGTATGAAGCTTGTCTTCTGTACTCACGGTGTTTTGTGGTACGGCGTAGTACGAAGCAAAGTAAGTACTCTTTAAATTATTGGATTTTTAAGGGCCATTAAATTCAGTGATTGTTTTTTTTTATTACTTCTCCTGGTACACAACAGTACAATTAGCGTGGCTTTCCATCACGCAGTTGCTCTTGCACTAGGCGTAGGGGGCAGCTCTATCGCCGGAGACCCAACCAATATAAACCTTGGCATATTAATATTATACATACAGAAAACATAAAAGAAAACCAAGAATGTTAATTTGACTGACTCAATGATGCAGTAATTAGCTGATGACCGTGCACGACTTGTTCCCAGTTATTATTACTATTCATTTCAGATACCTATGATGACATGTGATGATATTTTATCAACCGATCTGTTTAAAAGTCAGAGCTGCGTTTTCGTTGAGGCTGACTCCATCGTACAGTCCCTGTATAGTACAAAATAGTGGACTACACACAAATTAGCCGGTGCAATCGGATCATCACTCATCAATATTCCATTTGCGAAAACCGCTTTTGTATTACCATCAGCTGAATGAATTAACTGTGTACTCCGAACAGATGCGGAGTATTTGGTGGTATTCCGTAATATTGTTTATTTTTATTATTATATTTGTTTCATTTTTATTACACAATGCTATTCCTTCACCGTGGAAGTCAATCGTGAACATTTGTTGAGTACATATTTCATTATAAAAATTGGTACCCGCCTGAGATTCGAACATCGGCGCATCGCTCAACTCGAATGCATCGGACGCCTTATCCGTTAGGCCACGACTTCCTTAACTGACCTTAACAAGCATATTTGCTTAATACTGTGTGGATGGTGGAAGTGGTGTGGCGGTAGCCATTATAAAACACAAGATATTTAACAGATGCCTAGTGTTGGTTACGACAAAAGGGAATATCTTCCACCGAACCTTGTATATATTATAGGAATTTGTACGAGTATTTAAGCAAGCTTATTTTGATAATGTCGTAAGCGAGATTCAGGCATCTGTCAAATATCTTGTATTGTATGATGGCTACCGCCAAACAGCACGGATTAGCAGTACGCATTTAGTAAAAAGTGGTTATTTTATTATTACAAACAGACTCCAATCTTATTTATTTGTATAGACTTAACATTATCATACGACGTCCTGTCATAAGTGATCACGCTAATTGTATTTTTTGCGTTTTTTTATTTTTTTATTTTTATTACACGATATTATCGTGAAATTCACTCGTGAACATGTATTAATTACGTATTTCAATAAATAAAAAATGTTACCTATCTGCGGCATATGAAATCAAGATAAAAACCATTAGAGTAGGCATTTTATTTATTTTTATTTTTTTTCTTACCTAAGCTGATAGCCTTGAGAGGCTATATCAGCGTCGCCTTAACTAGTAGGTGAGCTCACGGGGCTCAAACCTGATGACGTTGCTAACACGAGAACCCTAGCAAGAGCCGTCCTTCGCAGAATCTACCACCGGATCGGAAACGCGACCCACTGAGAAGATCCGGCGAGAAACTCAGTGGGCTGTGTCTAAGGGTTAATTTACTCATCAAGCCCTTCGTCGCAAGCGACGGATTCGACAAGGACGAAGACCAGTGCTTGAGGTACCTAAAAGAACCGTTAGTGGATCGGGAGGTTCCGAAATGACGTGTTTGGGGCGACGTCGACTGCTTTCCATTCTTTTCGCAGGATCGAGAATCTTTGAAATCATTTACTATAAACAAAATACTCAAATCCATCTTAACAAAAGACAAAGATAAGTTATTGGTCATAACACAGCAATCCAATTTAGGAAATACACAATAATCAAAAACCTTTGAGAGTGGAAAGCTCAGATTTCATTGTCAAGCTGATTCAGTATTCAGTGGCGCATCCAACAGTATTATGCGGCGAAGTGCACTTGGATTTCTGTACAGAGCTATATTTTGACTGTGAATAGTAGACGACACTTGAGAATTATATTAAAAAGACCTCTCAGTCTGAGTTTTATGTAAAAATCGGGGTACTAATAACGTACTTACCCCTACGTATTTCACTTATCTGTTGTTTTTAGTGTTATCAAAGTCATTAGGCGACATGTTTCTTCAAACGAGGCTTGTGGAGAGTATTAAGCGGTAGGCAGCGGCTTGGCTCTGCCCCTGGACTTGCTGAAATCCATGGGCGACGGTAACCACTCACCATCAGGTGGGCCGGCCGTATGCTCGTCTGTCTACATGGGCAATAAAAAATGCTTAAGCGACATTTCACTTAATACGCGACATTTAGCTTTGTAATTAAAAGTGCCTTTTATTTGGCATTAGCATCAACAGTTCAACGTTTTTTTTTGGAACTTCAATTAAGTTTACCCCATTCAAATAGCAGATGAACGTTTTTAATGACATTTTTTCCAAATTTTAGACTTTAAATGGCTCTTATGTAAAGTCGCAAAAGTGTCGCTTAAACCAAATAGCCTTTGAACCTTCGATATCTGAATTATATAAATACATAATTCCTTTTGCTTACAATGAAAAAACTAAAAGTGTGAAATGAAAGATATATTAATAAATGAAACGAAAAATCCGATTGGCTGTATAAATATATATTTAATTTAAACATGATTTATACAAACAATGGTATTATAGCAGGCAAATAAATAAAAATTTTTTTTTTTTTTTTTTTTTCTTAGATGGGTAGGCGAGCTCACAGCCCACCTGATGTGAAGTGGTTACTGGAGCCCATAGACATCCACAACGTAAATGCGCCACCCACCTTGAGATATAAGTTCTAAGGTCTCAAGTATAGTTACAACGGCTGCCTCACCCTTCAAACCGAATGTTGAATGTCCGTGAGCTGATGAAATCTCCCGAAATGTGAAGCGTAATTATATGATGGGAACAAATAAAGCGATTGTTACGCCGGTAAGAGTCATCTATCGCCCTATAGCCGAAACGAATATCAAAGGAACTCGTCGAGAACGCTCGAGAAGCACAACGCCATCTATTGTCAGATAGCGAAAACACACATCGAAGCTACTCGACTTGCCCAGAATGATCACTATAAAACTAGCGATGTCGTATCGACTATAAAAGCATTGCAGGGATGGCACGGATTTAGTTAGTAATCGGAACTACTCGAAGCGAAACAGCGAACGGATCACCTGAAGCGAAGCGAAAGAAGTTAATTAAGAATTTTAAAGTGTTCGTTACGTGTTCTAAGTGCTAATAAAGTTTCAATTTATACTTCGGTAGAATTTTTATTTATCCCGAACCCCAGCGCGTAACCCTAGACACAACATGCTTTAATAGAAAAATATTGTGTCACAAGACGATCTGTCCTATTACAACCTTCATTGAAAATAGATTTGTGAATCTGGGATTCTAGGCGAATTTCAATCTACTAACGCCTTTAGAAAAGTACACGGCAACATGATTTTCAATTTGAATGCGCCTTTAAAATCACTTAGCAATACTTGTATAGTCACAATCAACAACATAATTGAAACATTTCAGGCGTTACGTAAAATTTGTTTCATTGAATGTTCAACAATTTATTTTAGATTTATTTTTATACAAAGCACCACAATTAGAAAGGGCACTGTATTGCGTAGATTATAAGATACAAACTGTTTCAAGACAAGAACGATCATCTTCAATTTCTGATTTTGTAAAATCACTTTATTGATCATCAGAAGAACCATTAGATTAGATTTTTTATTTAGTTCATTTATTGTTTAGCCATAAAATCTTCTCAACCATTAAGATCAAATCGTCGTCAACAGTTACCGCACAGTGATAACAAATTTACTATTTTTCCTACCTAATCGTTGGTTTAGATGCTATTTCAACTACGCGTGGATTAGTAAGTGAGCTTACGGGTATTAAAGGAGGACTTGCTAACGGAAGCCCTAGCAAGAACAGTGCGAATGTATCACCGAATCGGAATCGCGATCCACTGAGTAGATCCGGCGAGAAACTCGGTGGGTTGCAAGTCTTTTGCATTTAAATCTCGTTATATCTACTAGCAGTTATATCCTGAGCATGATCGCAAGCAGGCTGGACTGTATATACATGGGTCGCTGTGGTGCCATCTCCCATGGGATGTTACCACCGTAATTCATTGTGATGTAAATATAACTACTAACATAGGTCTAAGTCTTATTAACAATTTATATGAGTCATGGATACTTGAAATAAAAACATTATTATTATTATTATTATTATTATTAATGGAAGGGCCATTGAAGGCATCGTGAATACAGGCACATAAAAACGTGCGTCTTATTTTCAATGGAATAGGGTATATTCTAAAATAAAATTTATAATATTTAGCTTTTGACTACATCAGTAGCACAGTAAACAGTTGTTGATTGTTCTTGCGTAAGTCAATTATAACATTACAGTGATTATGTTAGTAGGCCTAATGTAAAAACGCCATCATTTGGATCCATTAGAAACACTAATTTCTTTACAAGTAAACTTGGTGCATCAAGAGCTCATTAAGGACTCACCCGACGATGGAATATCATGAATCATGAATCATGATCGTGAAATCTTTGGATCGAACCCGAAAAGAGTTGACTATATTTGAAAGTGGCTATTTCTCACTCTATGTAATATTAAGGAGTTCCGGTAACCACTAAAGACCAGATGAAAATGAAACGTATCTATGTTCCCATGCACAATAGTAAAAAATATCCTCTGAATCAAAACAAAATGAAGTCTTACGATCAATAAATACCTACCGCTAGTTCGCATATTCGTTGTATTAAATAATCACAATCCAAGTAAAAAGCGCATGCAAAAATTAAATATACATACAAACAAAATGAATTTCTGTTTGTTTGTATCGCCGCAAACATTACGAGATATCGATGCTGCGGTGAATGCAACGCAACGGTTTTAAACGTTTTATTTTTATCTCCGCATTTAACTCGAGCTTTTTACTGTGCGTATCAATGAAATTGTACACTTTAAAGAAAAATAACGTTCAACAATTTGCAGTTACATTTGATAAAACTCAAATAACATTCTTCAGTACAGCTACAGATTTCACGGGTAGGTACCACCACTCCGCCTATTTCCGTGAAGCAGCAATGCGTTTCGGTTTGAAGGGTGAGGTAGCCGTTGTAACTATACTGAGACCTTAGAACTATATCTCAATATGGGTGGCGCATTTATGTTGTTGATGTCTATGGGCTCCAGTGATCACTTAGTACCGGGTTTTTTTTTTATTGCTTAGATGGGTGGATGAGGTCACAGCCCACCTGGTGTTAAGTGGTTACTGGATCCCATAGACATTTACAACGTAAATGCGCCACCCACCTTGAGATATAAGCTTAACTTAAGGCATAGATAAAACAGTTAGGAACCTAATGTTTATGCACTATGTTAAAATGAACGCGCCGGAATGGATCGTAACGTCAACTGTCAAACAATCACCTGTCATCAGTCATGAAGCGTTCTTCTTGCTTTTACCGCGTTTTTTGGGAACATAAAAATATTCCAATGATATCTTTAATTTGGTGCATTCATTTATTTATATACTTGTATGGTGTTAAAATAAAGGATTGATAAGTTTCGGTGTTTTTTTTTTTATTGCCTAGATGGGTGGACGAGCTCACAGCCCACCTGGTGTTAACTGGTTACTGGAGCCCATAGACATCTACAACGTAAATGCGCGATCCACCTTGAGATATAAGTTCTAAGGTCTCAGTATAGTTCCAACGGCTGCCCCACCCTTCAAACCGACACGCATTACTGCTTCACGGCAGAAATAGGCAGGGTGGTGATACCTACCCGTGCGGACTCACAAGAGGTCCTACCACCAGTGTGGGCTGTGAGCTCGTCCAACCATCTAAGCAACAAAAAAAAAACAGTGCGTAATCTTAAGAGAATTTAATCTACATACGGAACGCTTGGTATAAAAACATTTGCTCGAATCAAGGTATGCGGAGAGGAAACTGGGAAATATGTTTGTTTAGACAAATTGCAGCCCGCGTTCCCTATTCGAAGAAATTATTTGCTTTGTGTTGCCTATCTTTCATGTCAGTAGCATCGAATTGCTATTCTGGCTTCATCGTAACTGGTGGACGAGCTCACGGGGCACAGTCTGAGAGAGTTTCCTAATATCTGCCCTAGCAAGGACAGGGGCTTCCCTGATCTACCACTAGAACGAAATCAAGATCCACTGAGAAGTAATGAGCGTTAATATTGCAAGGGCGTAGGTTTTGCCTTAGGATTTTATACTCAAATTTAAGCCTTATTTGTATAATATCATTATTATTTCTCCGTTGAATAAGTCCGTTGACAATAAATTCTAAATTGAACTGAATTTTATTTTAAAAATATAGAATTCTATTAATTTTCTAATTCAGTCGTCAGATATAAAAAATTAACGTCGTGGTCGCCCAAAAAGCAAACTTAACAACGACAAACGTGATAGTGGAAACTGGTCATACTCAACCTATCGCGGAGTTAGGAGCGTCTTTCAACGCTAGTTTCAATACAATATTGGTCCATTTGCGTCAAATTGACAAAGTAAAAATACTTAATGGGCGTATGCCGCATGAAATGCGTTACTTAGCCGACACAGAAACTATGAACAGTATTGTCACTTGCGCTTTTTTTTCCCCTCCGTATGCCTTGAGAGGCTATTTCAGCTAACGTGTAGGTGAGCTCACGGGCTCAAACCGGAGTGTTGCTAACACTGGCCCTAGCAAGAGTAGCGCTTCGCAGAATCTACCACGGGATCGGAAACACGACCCACTGAGAAGATCCGGCGAGAAACTCAGTGGGCTGTGTCTGTGAGTAACTGAAAAATGCTAGATAATGTTGCAAACGAAAACTTACCACTAAAAAGGCCATGGTCACTATTTGGTGGCCTAGTGGCGGTATAATTCATCACAGCTTCTTACCAAATGTCACCAGAATTACTGCGGATTTGTATTGTCAGTAAAAGCCTAAAATAAACATTATTATATAAGGGGTTGTTACAACGATTATTTATGATAATGATAATCCCGAAATTAAAATAATTCGTAAGATAGATATGATAAAACTTTCGAAATTATCAAGTGCTCTGTGTCTTTGACGTTTAACAACGAAACCCAAAAAGTAAAAATTGATTCGGAAACCCCAGATCAATCAGTGTTTTCCGAGCGCTTTGACATGTCCTTCTTCAAACGAGGCTTGCGGAGAGTACTTTATGGTGGGCAGCGGCTTGGCTCTGCCCCTGGCATTGCTGACGTTCATGAGCGACGGTGACCACTTACCATCAGGTGGGCCGTATGCTCGTCTGCCTACAAAGGCAAACAAAAAAAAGTAGACGAGACAAACCCACTTATTGTATATCGATCGGAAAACTTGTGCCTAAATCATCGATTCGTGAATACCAATGCAAGCATTTCTCGAATTTATTATTTTCGATAGAAGAATGTAGACCTAAAACAAAAAATAAATAAAACCCGAATCGTCTTGAGTAATGGCCAACGATATTTCCTTATTCCATTACTGGTAGATAGGAAACAAAGCGCAAAACGTGGTCGATCTTGAACGCATCCGTAAGAAATGAACCGTATTTGTGGAGTAAAGTTTGGCTATGATCCAAATAGGCGTTTATTCTCGGGATATTTCGTTCAGTTGACGCCGCGACTGCCTAGCTGACGAATTGAATATAACTATTATAATAGTGGTTTATTGTGAGGAATCCGAAAAAAATATACGTGATTACCAGGGAAAAACGGATCGATAATATGTGAGTGTTTACGTTCAAACAGAATTTGGTAATTAAGTTCGTAATTAGCTAAATCGGACAATAAAGTTGATGTGCGTGATTTCGTAATTAATCACAATTATTTTGGTGAAAACTTGTGATCAATTTGTCACTTCGAACAAACTATACCAACTGAATATACATTTTTTATTTTTTATTGCTTAGATGGATGGACGAGCTCACAGCCCACCTTGTGTTAAGTGGTTACTGGAGCCCATAGACATCTACAACGTAAATGCGCCATCCACCTTGAGATATAAGTTCTAAGTTCTCAGTATAGTTACAACGGCTACCCCCACCCTTCGAACCGAAACGCATTACTGCTTCACGGCGGAAATAGGCAGGGTGGTGGTACCTACCCGTGCGGACTCCCAAGAGGTCCTACCACCAGTGATTACGCAAATTATAATTTTTGCGGGTTTGATTTTTATTACACGATGTTATTCCTTCACCGCGGAAGTCAATCGTGAACATTTGTTGAGTACGTATTTCATTAGAAAAATTGGTACCCGCCTCCGGGATTCGAACACCGGTGCATCGCTACATACGAATGCACCGAACGTCTTATCCTTTAGGCTACGACGACAATATATACATATAACACAATATTTTAACAACTTGATAGTTTGGTTCTATTTAAACGCGCGAAAAATTCTCTTTTTATTGTGGATTTCATATGTGTCTCAGCTAGTTATAAATCTAATGGCGAAATTGTTACCGCGCGATTTAATTGACTACCGGAATTATTTCACTGTCAACCTGAAGACACGTAATCAGTGGTGGTAGAGCCTATTGTGATACGATACAATCAGACGTAGGACAACCTGTATATAGGGATATAACCGAGATTCGGGCTTCATGTCTGACACTGATTAGCATCGTTAATAGTACAACAGCTCCTATGGTAACTTAGATAAGGAGACACTGATCTCCTCTAGTTATTTAAAAAAAGTTAGCAACTATTATTACACTATATTAGATACTAGCTTTTGCCTGCGACTCCGTCTGCGTGGAATAATTACTTTGGCATAACGCTAAATTTTACTCCCACTTCATTTACGTAGAAAGTGAAAATATTTTTGAATTATAGAATGTTAAGGAGCTATTTAAACCCCTATGTTGAAACATTCTTTATTGGTGCTCCACTTACATTGGCCTTACCGTGATGTTATATACCCTATAGTCTCCCTCAATAATAGGGTTATCTAACACTGAAAGAATTTTTCAAATCGGACCAGTAGTTCCTGAGATTAGCGCGTTCAAACAAACAAACTCTTCAGCTTTATAATATTAGTATAGATAAATTATTTTATCATTGTATTTCAAGAGTTGATATATTTATTGGGTTTTTATTGTGTTGGTATGTAAGTTAGTAACGGAATATTTGAACGTCAGTTCAAGACGTTATGGTAGAAGCCCGAACCTATTTGTCTTTTTGAAAAAAAACCACACTTCACTTATTTTATTTAAAAGTATTTAATGTAGGTACATTAAATTTATTTTATTTATTTATTACACTTCATGTAAAATTCACATTGGCGGACTTAATGCCTAAGGCATCTTCTACCAGTCAACCAAAGGTAGTGCAGAGTAAATAGTGGTAGGTGCAATGAAATTTATATTAAGCTACGAATACATACACAAAAAAGTATATATATACATATTATATACACAATCACATATACATACACACATACATACATGCATACATACATACATATAATAGTTAAAGGAGACGGAAAATCGTGGGCCAAAAATGTAATAACTTGGAATGTAGTCTACAAAATTTGTCATATTTTTTTATATAACAATATAAAAAATCACCTCAATCCTCTTTCTGGGACCGGAGAATAATGAGAAAGTTAGTTTTTGTCGGTATAACGGTGTGATCGATTTAATTAATCGATTACAGGATTATAAAAATAAAAACATTGCATTAGGTAATTAATGCAAAGTAATTGAATGAGCGATTTATACTTGTTGTATACAAGTGCGGTATGCGCCGGATTTAATTGCGATTATATACATAAATTAAGAAAAAGTCTATTAATACTTAGCAAAGTAATATGATTATCGATTTCAAATCGATTAAAATCGATTGTATTTTTGATGACAGTAAGCTGACACATCCTTTCTGCACTGATTGACTCTCGAATTCCCAGTTGGATAACTATGCTGCGCGCCGCGCCGTCTGTATATTGACTGACATTTTAAGCTTGGAATATAAAATGGACTAAGTAACAATGTTAAAACTGCAAGATATCGAATAAGACTAATGAAATTACTATCGCAAATAAGACAAAACATCGTTTTACTGAATGCACCATAAGTATATATAAATAAGAGTTATAACAGTTTATTTAACTTGAAAATTTTCTCTAGTCCCTTAGGTTACCAACGATTAGGCAGGGGAAAAAAAATTGAAAATTTGCGCACGCATCAAGATCCGACGGTATTACAATCTAATATATAAAATTCTCGTGTCACAATGTTCGTTCCCATACTCCTCCGAAACCGCTTGACCGATTCTCATGAAATTTTTTATGCATATTCAGTAAGCCTGAGAATCGGCTACTATCTATTTTTCATACCCCTAAGTGATTAAGGTTGTCTAACATGTTTTTTTTTATTTTGACATTTTTTTTTGTTATAATGAGGTATTATGTGGTTGAATGAGGTTTTGTTATTTTTTTTATATATCCCCTCATCGTTCACAGCACTACATATCTCTTTCACTCATTTACCACATCCTTACACACTTACAATAAGTTAGTTTTTTTTTCTACACTAGAAATTCCCTAGAAATCTTATATATGGCAAAACAATGTTTGCCGGGTCAGCTAGTAATCTTATAATATCGCTTTAATGTAACCAGTACCAAGAATGTCAGTTTTGAGCCCCGCGAGCTCACCTACTGGTTCGGTGAATCTAGAATAATCCTTCGATGTTACTAGAATAGATAGGAATAATTAAAAAAAAAACAGTATCAAGAAGATTACAAAAAAATAAGAAATTAATTCCTAGTTTAGTTTGCTATCTAAGCTTTTTTATCAGTTCAGAGACCTTGGAACTTATATCTTAAGGTGGGTGGCACATTTACGCTGTAGATGTCTATGGGCTCCAGTAACCACTTAACACCAGGTGGGCTGTGAGTCGACCACCGAACTAAGCAATAAAAAAATAATTACACTCGATATATTTTATTTTAGGTTGTTGAAATGTCTACTGCTGTTATCACTCGCAGTGTCCCAGGCGTTTGGGTTAATGGGAAAGTGCGATCACACACCTCCCCTAGCAACTGTTAGCACTCCATTAGAAAATCGCGGCTACTACGTATTCAACATTGAAAACGCCGTTCAGAAAGAAGGAAACCTCTATTATACACCGGACCAGACTTATGTTTGTGAGTTTTTATAAGTTATCGACAAAAATATTTTAATGTTATTGTTATTTGCCTATAGGGCTATTCCAGCTACGCCCGGACGGGCAGGTGAGCTCACGGGTTCAACCTGAGAGAATTTGCTAACACTAGCCCCAGCAAGAGCAGCGCTTCGCAGAATCTACCACCGGTTCGGAATCGCGACACACTGAGAAGATCCGGTGGCAAAATTAACAAAACTTAATCGAAAATCATAGCATTCTAACCTTTAAGAATATTGCTAACTGTTTTCTGTCAGGAATCTCTTTTTAGCTTTGGTAAGCTGTATCGCTAATCTTATAACGATCAATTTCTCGTTAATAATATTAACTTGTATGTATTTCGTGCGCCCCGGAAACGGCTCTAATGATTTGCTTAAAGTTCTTTTTTTTAGATAAGCTTTTAGTTTTTATCTGATATAGGTCCTTCACCAAAAAAATATGGAATTTTCTAAAAAATGTTTTACAGAAAAGCGATTTTACGTAAACAATTATTTAGTAGTCCGAGCAGAGAGAATCCTCCCGAGACCCGAATCGTGGTACTTAAAAGGATACCAGGACTTAGCAAGCAAATATCCAACACAAGTATCTTTGCAGTAACTGTTACCTCAAGAGAAAACAGCCGTCCGTTTCGTTGGTTCATGATAACTGCCGAAGATCCGGCTGTGGACAACAATATATACGATTTCGGACGAAAGTTCGCTGACGTGGGCAGCTTGAAGACCTTGGACACGGATTGGAGGTCCAGGTATAGCGAACGCTGTCAAAATACAGTCGAAAATGCGGATAATTCAGCCAAAACGCAGGTTGAGGTGAGGTTCGTTGTTTTATTGTTGGCTTTTATTAGTTGTGCGTTTCGAACGGCAGGACGACCTCAACGACCTCATGTATCAAGGTGTGTAATGGAATTCGCGGTGTCCTCGGTAGACATTTAATAACAAGTTGCTACTGACCTACAGTTAAATGAGTAAAAATTTAACTGAAACACATTTTAAAGAACGCACTGTATGCTGCAGAATTGTGTATAATGCGAATCCTATAATCCGATTAGCACTGGATTCCAATTTAATAAAGTAGATGGCGCTGATCGTAAAATATATTACTCGATACATTGTACGCCCAGAATAAATCTAAATTAACTTTCATCAGGTACATTGGGTATCGCCAAAGCATTCTGAGAACCAACAGCAAGTGCGGATAAGAGCGATGGTCGCAGAGAATAAGGAAGCCTGGTATACCGGCAATAACCTCACAATTTTACTGCATATGGACGATCAGCGTCCACGAGACAGCCCGCCGTTGCCAATCAGAGACGAATGCAACTTATGCAGCGAAGCAAGATACGAGGTATCTTACTATTTATATTATCCATCATCATCATAGTCGGTTGCTCTTGGCAGAGCGGTCGTGATTATGTGGAATTCTTGCTTATTAAAGCCTTGACAGATGTTTTCCATAGTTTCCGAACCGAGGCTTGGCGCACACACTCATTAGGTAGGGTTTCAGTTAGGTCTTTCACCTGATCAGTCCAGCGCATGGGGATTTATTATCCAATCTTCCTTAAAAGTGACGTGTACAGTCTCCTTGCGTCGTTCTCCTCATTACTAAGGGTCGTGGCTCCCCCACTGCATTAATCTCTCTTGTACGATTGTTCTCCATCTGCTGCGATCCTTGGCCTCGTGGAGGACATCGTGGAGCTTGATGTCCAATCAAGACAGAATTTGGTCCTACCATCTCGCGGGACTGCGGCCTCTGGGACGTTTATCCTCTATCTTGCCCGTCACCATCAGCTGCTCAAGGTTGTGACCCTCCTTTCGAGCAATGTGTCCAAAGAACTCCAATACTCTACAAATGCATATTATGGAGTATCTAGTTTTAACATCAAGCTCCTTTAGTATTGACACATTGGTTCGAAAGGCAGTCCATGGAATCTGCAGCAATTCCCTCCAGCACCACATTTCGAAGGCGTCTACGCGGTCTCTGTCGGTCTTTTTCAGTGTCCAGGTATCCGCTCCGTAACTGAATATAGAGAAAACTAGCGAATTCAGGTGTACAGTACCCGGCGTTAAATATGGCACATTACACTACCACAATTGAACAACGACTTTTTTTTTATTTATTTTTTATTGCTGTTAAATGCATAATAAGTAATAAGCGTTTTTTCTGTAGATAAATGCCACAAAGGTAGTGTGCGAGAGAGAAAACGCTCTACGAAATCGAAATTAGCCGATTATCTCTCTCTAAATGTCGATGTGCAGTATCTAGCGCCGAGTACTTTAATTGTTTGGGGAGAACAGATTTTTAGTCAATTCAGAACAGTAATCATCGACGTACAGAGTTTTTCATATTAGTAATAATAATAATTTATGTCGATTTCGGCTACTACTGGCTTCTGACTCTTAATTAGTGAAAATTTATAGGCACACAGTAATCTGACCAATTTAGCCAATTGTGGCTGTGTTTATATACATACATAATAATATGTACGTGTGCGTGTGAGTATTTAAACAATATTTGCGAATCGTTTACCTTATGCAAATTACTTTAATGGTTTTATCTAATATTTATTTTTTTAATTTATCATTTCCATCGTCCGTGGCTACGAAAACTGTAAAGTATTTGAAATCACGAAATTAGTAAAATGAAAAGAAAAGAAAAAGTATTCGCTTGATTAAACTCTAACTAAGTAATTTTGATTGATATGTGCAAATGTTCTGCGTTTTACCTGTTGTATATCCAAGTAGATTCTTGGCTTTTTTCAAAACACGTTGTGCCCGTTTTATTGGACCCCGGATCGGTTTATGGCCAGTAACTCCTAACGAGAAGGCTTAATCAAGCATTTAAGAACGAGAGCTTGCCTTTATTTTACGGCTTAGTACTCAATGCCTTCCTCAACGTTTTTTTAGGTAATATTCAATGGGCGATGGTCTCGATTAGCGCATCCCCGACATTATCCCAGTAAGCCTGATGAGAATGGCTACACTCACATGATAGGGGCGTCGCACGGGAACAACTTCACCCTATGGCTGCAAGGTACTAATGCCGGTCCGGGCCTGGTCGATTTAGTAGTGAAACCGACACCGACGACTCTCGAAAGAGAAATCATTGATGCGGTAAGTAAACAAGACAACGTTCTGTGGAATGAAGATCGAGTTGTCGTGGCCTAAAGGATATAAGACGTCCGGCGTACTCATTTCGAGCGATGCGACTTAGTCAGCGTCCAAATCCCAAACCCAAAAAAAAAACAAGGTACCTATTTTTCTAATGACTTCACGCTGAAGGGATAACGTTGTGTGATAAAAACCAAACCCGTAAATTATTACTCGTAGTGGTATTCTAACCCAATAAGGACAGATACCACAATCCGCCGACTTTATGTCGCTAGTGAGTATGACCGATTTTTGTTGGACAAACACTGCTGTGTGATATTGTGTGATAAATAAAAAACGTAATATTAAACACCACATCTATCTGCTCGTTGAGTTCTTAGTAATTTCTGCGAATGTTTCAGATGGTCTTAGACGGCGGTACCCGTACTTTAATAAGAGGGAAAAAGCACGATCATCCATTGATGTCGAAACCGTCCCATTCTTTATTCAGGGTTGATAGAACGCACCATATGTTCTCGATAATAGTAGGAATGACACCATCACCGGACTGGTTTTTGGGCACGTCCAAATTTGAGCTCTGCGATGAGGACGGATGGCTTGAAAAATTCGATCTACCGCTGTATCCGTGGGATGCTGGAATCGTGGACGGAGTTTCTTATGAGGTGGCCTTTATTTTTCGGAATGCAAAAATTTATTTTAGTTGAATTTGTTTTCATTATGATCGTTCTGCGTTCCAGTCACCAAAATCCATGAGTCAACCTGTGGACAATATAGAGCGCGTCGAAATCGGATCGTTCGACAGAGATTCGCCCTTTTATCAGATGAACCTCAATGATTTGGCTCCATTTGCTATTTTACAAGTGCGAAGGCTGGATGTGTATCCTCTTATTGGCATAGACTGTAGTGAAGGTAATCACCTTTTTGTTCTTTATATTTTATGCACCTCTAGTCTAAGATTCAGACAATCACTAGTGATGAGGCAAACTCATATCACCAATCCCACAAACAGCGGAGTCATGACTTTTTTTTTTTATTCTTTATTAGAGCCATACACCTATTAGGTTAAGTCGGCTTGGAGTCATGACTTTACGATTCAAAAATCTCCGACTTCCGAAATCTATTGCGAAATTGGTAACGATTTGAAGGAAATCATTCTGTGCAAAGGTGGGCAGTTTGGTTTTCCTTTTCACCTTATTGCCTGCGTTAATCACACTGTGATCTCATCTCTAATCTACGTCAGGCAAAATTCATATTCTTTTAACCATGTACTTTAATAACTTAAATTTATTTTTTTAGGTCAAAATGCTGAAGAAGAATTGCAACAAGAGTAAGCAACTATTCATTTTTGCGCTTCACAGCAACAAGAGTTCTTTTCGAACATTTTTGTATTTTATTCATTATTCAGTGCCCCAGTGTTAGAACCGGTGTTGGCGGAATCGCGACAGAGCCTTCGCGGTAAATCGTGCGCCGGGGAGTGGGGTGAATGGACGCCGTGTACGCCCCACGCTGGCGTCTGTGGCCCTGGCCTGAGGACTAGAACTAGATACATACAGAACATTGACTTGTACGTGAATTACAAGGTCGGTAATTCTAGCTATAATCTGATTTACTTTAAATTAATTCAATGCCCGATTTTTTTGTATTTATTTTTCTACTACAGGTAACCAAGAGTGGGAAAGGTGAACAAGAATTTAGTAGTTGTAAAAATAACAAAGATTCAAAAGCAACTGAGCGTAAAGAATGTTTTGTGAGATGTTAGAAAACAAAAATAAACGTTAAGCATCCTAGAAAGTAGACTTTAATTTTATTTCTGTACGTTGAATAACTAGATGCAGACTTAAAACAAGTTCGTGAGCTGTAAGCGGCGAGATCTTTCTTGGTTTTTGCGCGAAAAACAACCAGTTTACTAGTTTCAGTGGTTGGCCGTAAGGGCGCGCAAATCGCGGCGGAAGCGTCGTGTCAACATTGTGCTAGTCGAGTGTGAACACAGAAACGGATGGCGCATGCTCCAAGCGTCTGATACAACGGCCCGCCGAAACACGCTTTGCAACTTGTTGATTGTTCGCTCACTTCACATCAGTCTGCCGCGAACGATGCGACGGGTGGTCGTGTCTCGCGTCACGCCCGATCTCGCTCTGAACTTCGAAATTATTCTACGAAATAATATGAAGTTTTCAAACATAAAATTGGGCAGAACTACCGTTTCCTTCGCATCTATTAGTGTTTAATTCATGTAAAACATTGAGAAACGAATAGTTTTAAGTCACTTGAAACTTAATAGGCTTACTCGTTTACCTGCATAGGTACTTCGTCCCACGAGCGAGTTGGTTGGTTACCTACCTTATCGGATAAACGAACATTTTTTCAAATGGATGTGCGTTTGAGTTCTGTGATAGTGTGCGTGTATAGTGTGTTTACGAGACTCTGTGAGAGCGTCTTCAGAGTTGGTGACAAGTTTTTGCTATAGTGACGTGATAGAAATTATTAATTGTAAGAAACATGCACACGCGCAAGAGTGAGATGGGCTTGCTTACAGCTCTACTGCTGTACTCTCTGACGGTGACGGCCGCACAGTATACAAAAGGTAAAAAAATAACTGCTATTTTACCTGCTCTTGTGCCGATATTACGGCCCACGTTGGCACATTGATCTTTGTTCCGTGGTCTTTGTTACAACTTACTTTCGAAAATTAAATATTCTTTGTTAATATCATGTACAGACTCAACTACGTGATTTTTTCGTTTAAAGTATCTTTTAATTCAATATTAATAGCCAAAAAAAACAGGCTGTTTTAAGACCGGAACAAAAGCGGATTCAAAATTTCTTACAGAAAAATAAGTGTTGGTTTCCTGTTATACCGGTTTCTCTGTAAATTGAATGACTAAGTTCTCAAGCAATCCTACCATTGCGATATCTTTAGCTTCGTAATGTGAGTCAATACTGATAACACGCTATCAGATATTAATAAAATAATATTACTTTAAATGTACTAAGTAAATGTACTACTAGTGAATAAAAATTAAGAGAACAAATACCGCGTAAAAACAGACCATTTCACAGAACTTAAAGTATTTAAATATGAGATTTTTTTTTGTTTGGGATTTGTAGACGAAAATTTCTCATGGCCACCTGGTGTTCGGAGGTTTCTGAACCCAATAAGCTTCGACTTTAAGACATGATATAGATGTTCCAATTTTATTGTATGGTCTATCTATCATCTGTCAAGGGTTCCGCGAAGACCTAAAAATCGGATTAGTTCTGATTCGCTTTTATTATAATTGGCATTTATTATGATTGACAAATTTATCAGGATAGAAAAACTAAATAAAAAAATATTGCTTTTCAACCAGAAGTGATAATAAAAATTGGATAGTACCTAGATATATGGGATATATATGGCGGATGTTAACTGATGACTGGAACATCTAAGTCGTCGTGGCTTAAAGGTTAAGTAAGACACCCGGTGCATTCGTACCAAGCGATATGAATATGCCGGCGTTCGAATTTGGCAGAATGGTACAATTTTTTTTATCCATTACGTTTTTTTTACGGTGAAGGAACAACATCGTGTAATAAAAATGAAAAGTGAAAAAAAAATTACAATTTGCGTAATTACTGATGGTATGGTGTGTTGTGAGTTTAGACCCGCACGGGTAGGTAACACGACCCTGCCTATTTCTGCCGTTAAGATGTAACGCGTTTCAGTTTGAAGGGGGGGGGCAGTCGTTGTACTATAAAACTGAGACTTAGAACTGATGTTTCAAGGCCTTAAACACGTCATTACGGATCCGCCCGATCCATTAACGGTGCTTTTAGGTACGACAAGCACCTGTCACCGTCCTCGTCGAACCCGTCGCTAGCGACGAAGGGCTCGACGAGTAAATTAACCCATAGACACAACCCATTGAGTTTCTCGCCGGGTCTTCGATTCTGCGAAACACTGCTCTTGCTAGGGTCAGTGTTAGCAACACTCCCGATTTGAGCCCCGTGGGCTTACTTACCTACACGTCAAGGAGAAGCTGAAATAGCCTCTCAAAGCTATCTGCATAGGTATGAAAAAAAATGTCTCGAGGCCAGTGGCGGTATTTACTGCGAACCGAGATCAACTCGGTCTAGGAATGAGCAATATATGTGGGATACCTATGTGGGATACCTATAATTGCTTTTGCGTTTATTGCACTTGGTGTCACGTAACCGAAGTCCATAGAAATTAACAACGTAAATCTCCGTTTTACAGAACAACGGCTGACCCACTCTTTAAACCAAAACACATTACTGCTGCGCATAAAAATATGCTTGATGTGACCCGATATCGTAAAAGCAAAAGTTTCAATCACATTTTTACAAGTCTTCCTTCACACTACAAAACATTCCATAAGATGGCACGTGAACTAACATTACCGTTGAGAAGTGAATTGCAAAAAATACAAAAAGTGTTAGTTAAGGAGCTGTCACTCAAATCAGAGTTTTATTCATAAAAAAAATTGTATAGCATCTCTTTTCACGTAAATAGGCGCAACTATAATTTTCTTATGAAACATTGAAGTAATAGAAAATTGAACTATGTGACGCGTCTTAGTAACTTATGACCCAAATGCCATCAATCATCTGACCCAAGTACACTGTCGCTTGCCCACTTAAATACTTTACAAAATTCCCGACCCAGAAACTTGCGTAAGACGAATAATCGATCCTACACTTCGGCATCCACAATTTCAAGTAACATAACCTCAAACAAGTGAGAAAAGTAATGGAACAAAAAATCCTAAAATTTCGTGCACGGAAGACACAAGACAGGCAGAGGTTTTAATTTATAACACTTCATATCTGCTCCGGTGCGTAACAATAAAATTGAAATAACAACTTAATTGTTAAAAATTCTACGAGTAATCTCCCAAATAACAAATGACAAACTTTAATATTGTATTTGTACTGAAAGTACTCATTGTACTCAAAGAGGAATTATTGAAATCATATTAATGTTCATTAGTCAAATCACCATCAAAGAAAACATTACTTAAAAATTTGCTAATAAAAATGTGATTATAATATTATTTTTTTATTTTTTATTGCTTAGTTGGGTGGACGAGCTCACAGCCCACCTGGTGTCAAGTGGTTACTGGAGCCCATAGACATCCATAACGTAAATGCGCCACCCACCTTGAGATATAAGTTCTAAGGTTTCAGTATAGTTACAACGGCTGCCCCACCCTTAAAACCGAAACGCATTACTGCTTCACGGCAGAAATAGGCAGGGCGGTGGTACCCACCCCCGCGGGCTCACAAGAGGTCCTACCACCAGTAATAGAAAATAAAAGAAATAGAAAATAAAATAAAAGAACTCTTCATTAAAATTCGTAATGAAAACAAAAAATATAGAAATCTAACGATTAGTTTATGTAAGACATTCTTGTGACATTCACTGACAAATTCGTATAATTAATAATCTGAGTCATCAATATATGTAGTAAGAGTAATAATAATGTAATTTATAATAAACATTGCACATAATTTTGACTTCAAGTTGAAAGCGGCATGAGGATTCAAGTTGTAGTAAGTATATTTGGCCTTTGGTCACTTCTTAGGATTGTTTTTTTTTTGAGTGTGGGTTAAGTTGCATGTCGAACCCTTCCACGTATGACGCTGAGCTTATAGCCACCTTGAATCGTAAGTAAGGTTATAAAATACAAGCTCAATATTATTTTATACCAAATAATAATATAAAAAGATGTATGGTGTCGTGGGACACCGGATAGGAACGAAGTTCCTTATTATAAAAACAATTAAGTTCTATTCGAGGTATAAAGAAAATAAAATTGGAGGTTTCGCAACAACCCACGGTCATTCGGTAATGTGCGAACTTATTGTGGTACACTTCATTCACGGTTGTTTGCATAAGAGTTAGTGTATTGCGCAAACGAACGGTCTGAGATCGTGGTCAATGAATGATAAAAAAAATATGTTATTTTTTGTACGTTATTACAAAGTTAAGTCGTACACTGTGTGCATTACTAATAAAAATCTTACGTTACGGACGTTCTTTTCCGGTTAGGGTATCCGCATCGTCCCATAAGGACCTTCGTTCCAAAAATCATTTAAATAAAATATTTAAATACATCACCAACCCAGGACTTTCATAACTTCCCTGAAATAATGTCATATTAAATTAGATACAATTTCTTAGCTAATTTAAAAACAAAGAAAATATTCATCATAAGTTTTAGGTCGGGTCGTTCGGAGTTGAAAACACATTAGCTACAAACTCCGATGAGAGAGAACAACACCTCAGTCATACTCAAGTTTTGACCTTCTTTCAGTTTTCTAACTAACAACGAACCGTATTCTATAATATAAACGTATTTCATTCAACGCATTCGCTGAAAATTTTCTTATTAAATGAAACTCTATAACGAATGAACAAAGTCGTTTCTTGTATGGCGCTTTTGTTACGTTAAGTTCTTTCAAACGCAATTGCTTGTGTAAAGCTGAAATAGTTAATTAATTTTCGAACACAATACATGCATGATTGTCAGCTTGTGCTACTCGTATTAAGGACGATACGATTTTTGTTATCCAAAATAATTTGCACCTTTAGAATTGAAGTAGCTTAACTAAATTTATTAAGAAAATGAGTTTTACACTTTTTTGTTGCTTACCGAAGCCCATAGACATCTACAACGTAAATGCCGCCACCTATCTTGAGATATGAGTTCTAAGGTGTCAGTTTTTACAGTACAACGGCTGCCCTACCCTTCAAACCGAAACGCATTACTGCTTCACGGCAGAAATAGGCAGGGTGGTGGTACCGCCCGGACTCACAAGACGTTCTACCACCAGTAAAACGTTTGAACGACTTATAAAAATTTATTCTATCGGTTTATAAAATTAAAAATTTAATTTAAATTTTAATCTTGGGACAAACTACACTAAAAGAGGCGGACTTTTAAATCAAGCGCATACTTCAAGTTTTAAAGTATTTTAAGAGATTTTGAAGTATGCGCTTTTAGGGTTAAAAGTAAATCGAAACTGAACAGCTACAATTCTTCAGTTACATTTTTGGCGTTTACCAAAAAACAAAAATTTTGGATTTAGCCACTTCAATTGTAAAGGTATGTTAGGAGAAATTGATTTTTATATTTACATATTTTTAAATTCGCCTTTTTTGTGCTAAGCAAAGCTGTTGTAATTTTCTTACAAATAATACTTTTACGCGTTGAAACGGAAATTGTATGACGTATACAATATACACACGTTTATAACTTAAGTCCGCTCCCCGAATCCTGATCACGCTGGACACGTCCTTACGGATCCATCAGATCCAACAACCTTTGCATTAGATGCCTTCAGCTCTAAAACTAGGAGCAACTAGGACCCCGGTAACCGTACTCGTCGAACTCGACAAAGAGGTCGACGTGCAACCTAACCCATGCGTCTGCCCGCTGAGTTTCTCGCCGGATCTTCTCAGCGGGTCGCGATTCCGATCCGGTAGTGTAGATTAATTCACGAAGCAGCTGCTCTTGAGTTGTTAGGTCTCCTTTGGAAGCGCTCTGGCAGCTGTTAGCAAATCCCATTCCTCCTAGCTGA